ACTGTTCTTCATTTAGGTACAGAAAAACAATACTAAAATAAGACTTACTCTCTGTTTTGGCTTTTAATTAAACAGTCAATCAATCAAGGTGTCATCCTCACGTCTGAGAGTTGGCGACCACAGCCAATGGGAGATCCAAGCGTCTATACTCTGTGCATAAACAAAAGAATTACTCATCAACACGGAGGGTAAAACAGCCTGCCGTAACACCGCCTCTAATACCAACAGCCGGCCGTAACACCGACTCTAACACCAACAGCCGGCCGTAACACGCCTCTAACACCAACAGCGGCCGTAACACCGCCTCTAATACCAACAGCCGGCCGTAACACCGACTCTAACACCAACAGCCGGCCGTAACACCGCCTCTAACACCAACAGCCGGCCCGTACACCGACTCTAACACCAACAACCGGCCGTAACACCAACTCTAACACCAACAGCCGGTAACACCACCTCTAACACCAACAACCGACCGTAACACCGCCTCTAACATCAACAGCCGGCCGTAACACCGCCTCTAACACCAACAACCGGCCGTAACACCGCTCCTAACATCAACAGCCTGCCACACCGCCTCCCCTAACACCAACAGCCGGCCGTAACACCGCCTCTAACACCAACAACCGGCCGTAACACCGCCTCTAACACCAACAACCGGCCGTAACACCACCTCTAACACCAACAGCCGGACGTAACACCGACTCTAACACCAACAACCGGCCGTAACACCGACTCTAACACCAACAACCGGCCGTAACACCGACTTTCATCACTACACCTTTTCACCAAGGGGGAAAACCTGGGACTGTCCGTCATGGGTGTTGCTGTCACCTCGACCCATGGATGAGAACACCAGCGGAAAAAAGGTGTTGTGTGGTGTGGGAGTGTGGTGTGTGGGGGGGTGTAGAATGTGGTGCGTGTATGTGTGATGTATGTGTGTTGTATATGTGTGAGTATTGAATGTCTGCATGAATGGATCCAATTCCAAGACCTCTATGACCTTGACCCGTGACCCTTGACCTCTAACCCCTAGGGATTATCCCTCCTCCTAGTGACAGGCCTGGCACTTGACATTATTAGGGACCTGCCACACTTTGCCGTAAACAGATAAATTGTACCGGGAATTTCCTCCCCACACACACTCATCAATCTGTCACTTTATGTAACTTGCTGACAAAACCTATGACCCTTCAGGCTTTTACGCCCTTAATGCATGAGTCATAAAGGCAAGCATGACCTTAGCATGCTTCCCAGTTGGGCACTGTAAACGCTTCTGGGCTTCACCTTGCACAGGATGTAAGGGGGTGCCCAATAAACTACCCCCCTCGTGGGCAATCTAATCTAATCTCTACACCAAGTTTGACCAATGTAACTTTTTTCTGTTCTCGAGTTACTTGGTCAATTATCATGAGGCAAAGAGACACAATCAGCACTGCCCACACTACTCACGCGACCCCATAGCCAGAGAACGTCATAAGTACTCTCGTTTTACTAGTTAGGTTAGTTTACTTTAGGTTAGGTTAGCGTTAGGATAGGTTAGGTTAGGTTAGCGTTAGGGTGGTTAATCAACAGGTGAAATAAGCTAAGGTATACTAATCTTCAGGTGACCCGTCTCACTTCACTCTGTGCCATGATCTTAACTCAAACTCTCAAATTACTTTCTATTTTTGTCTACGTCAACCACATTCACAAAATTCCCCAAACCAATAAAAATTTTCCTAAAGACATCATTACCTAACATGGCACCATCACCTATGAGCGGGGAAACAGGGGGAGGAAACGGGGGAGGAACGGGAGAAACTAGGGCAGGTTCTAGTAAGGCTGATGACAACAGGTTTTGACGTAAGTGTTGAAGGGAAACTTGGGGATTCTTCGGCTGAATCTGACGGTGTGAGCTTGGGGATGGGAGGATAGGGGTGGGGGTTAAGGGAAGGGGCTGGCAGGGGCTGGAGGGGCAGGTGTTGGAGGGGGTATGGAATGGTGGGCGCTGGAGGGGCAGGGACTAGTGGAGGTTAGGGTTGGATGGGGGTTGGTGTGGGGCGGGGGCTGGTGGGAGGCAGGGGCTGGTGGGGGCAGGAACATGGGGTGGGGTGGGTGGTTCAGGGGCACATGTGTTTCCCCAGACCATGGTGACAGCTGCCCACAACAAGGTCACATCTCCATTGCTTTGTTGCCCGTGTTTTCCACCTTCTTAAAGAAACAGAGGTGAGAGGAGACGAGCGAATATTTGTTTAGTTTATGAATGAATGATGCCTGTATTGTATTATTTCTGTTGACCATTTATTATTATTGTTATTATTGATATTATCATTATTGTTGTTGTTATTATTATTACACTTCAGAGTGAGATGGCTTAAGAAGACTTACGGGGGTATTTTTGAGTGTTCAATATTACGTGTGTGTGTGCTAATGTTTACATGGTACCAAGGGTTCTATAAACTGACTGGAAAATACGTATGAAAAAATATATACTTTTCCAAAATTGAGTCCAAAGTTAACATGGCTGAGTTTTAGAACCATACAAACACTACACTACACACACACAAACACACACACGTCCCAATAATATTTCTGGTGACAATTTGGATCACACGATAAGACTCCCCCACCCACCCACCCATCCTCCAGAAGGTCCACGCGATACTCAGAGAAGCTAACGCCCTTCAGACACCCGATACCGTTGTTGTTATGGAAGGCACACTCAAGGCAGCCGGGATTTCCTGTATTGTTTTTTCTTGGGTACTTAAGATTCACCAGGTCATCAGCCTTTGTCCATCTCACGATATATAATTTTTCCCCTTTAACAAGTTATTTGGTAATGTAGAAGAAAAATATAATGTGAAAATTGTAATACTGCATCACAAACTTAACCTAACCTAACCCACCCAAGCCTAGCCTAACCTAACCATTAACTCTCCCTAAAGGTACTTGGAGAGTTGAGTTAGTTTTAAGGCAGATAAAAAAATCTTGATGTAAAAATAAACTTGGGTATCTAATCTTCAGGTGGGTTAGTTACTGTCATGTTACCATCTAGTTACATACCAATCACACACAAGATATACAAATTGATGTCAGATATAGCCAAGTGTCGAGATAATTATGGCCTAGTTGAGACTGTGTGAGAAGGACCTAGGTGTGTATGTTGACAATGAGCTGAAGTTCTCGGGCCATTGTGAGAAGAAGGTAAATCAGGCAAATAAATTATTGGGTCTTATAAGAAGGTCGTTCAGATATCTAGACGGTCCGTCCCTCGTGACGATCTTCAGGAGTGAAGTGCTTCCCCATCTGGAGTACTGTCACCCCATCTGGTCCCCGAGATATGCTAGGGACTGTCAGTTGGTTGAAAATGTTCAAAGGAGGGCCACCAAACTGGTGCCTGCACTTCGGCACCTCAGCTACCCTGAGAGATTGGAGTGCCTGAACTTGCCTAGCTTATACTACAGACGGGCAAGGGGGACCTAGTTGAGGTTTATAAGCATCTCAGGGGGCACTACTCAGTTGAGTGTCCTTACTTGGAGCTGGCGGACGCTCGCCCCACAAGGGGTCACAGCTCAAGATTGAAGAAGCCGCAAGTCCAGAAAACCGTGAGGGCAAACTTTTTCGGAGTGAGGGTTGTAAACTCTTGAAACAATCTACCAGAGAGTGTTGTGACGGCACCGAGTGTGAGCTCTTTCAAGAGAAGACTTGACCAACACTGGAGCGGGTTCAGGTACATTCAGGAGCCGGTGCATGCCCAGTATTTGCCAACAGTGCGTGACAGAGACGTGACCGATCGCCCGGGCGGCTAGCGAGCCGATCAGTGGCGAAGAGGATAAAAGTAAAAGTAAAAAGTACATGCAGGCCAGGCAGTCACTTAAGGTACAATAACCACCTCACCAAACAACAAGAATAACAATCTTGACTCTTCATTGTAAACGATAGGAACCACACACAGTCCCAGTTCGCTTTTGTCATCCTTTACTCAACACACGCTGACGTTGTCCCGTATTTCCCTCGTCATCCATTCCCTGTTAAACACTTCTCAATCCTTCATATATACAGGTATATCTCCCGGGAAAACAGACTGAGGCCGTGAAGGACCGGGAGGCAGCAGCAGACCGAGGTTGTGTCCCCTGGTGTGTGTGTACAGTATCTCTCAGTCACCCCCGCGAACCCTTCATCAAAGCGAAAAGGATAAAAGTACAAAGTAAAAGTAATCTCACCGCAGATAAAGTCGTCTTCCCTGTCCTCTCTTAGCATGTGAAGGCTTGGAGCTGTAGGAGTACTTGACCATGAACCAGTGTTGGCGTGACCTGCAAGACGAAGCTCACATATAGACATCATGACATTGTTTGGTAAATTATTCCCACTGTCACTAAACATATATACAGCCCTGATAGTTGTGTAATACTGTACTATACCCGTCATTAATTAATACTAAACGCAGTATCTGTAGTTAACTAAATAGTACAAATACCTCAAACCTCCCGTGTTCTTTTGAGTGAATTCGTCCAAGAAATTCCTGAATCTATCTACCAATATGATAGTAAACAGCATAAAGGTGTTCTAGAAATAACTGTCATATTGATTATTTAAGTTGTGAACTCTATAAAGTATGAACATTAGTGGACTTAAGAGTTATTACTTAGTTTACTGTGTTGAGACATTTCTTCCCAAATAACATCATTCGCCGGTATCGATCTGGGGCTGACTAGTTTAAATTAGGGGTAATAAATCCAACAAATCTAACCAAATTTCTTAAATCGCCAGTTTCTAATTCTTAAACTCATAAGTCTCAATAACGAGGGTGTGACCAATTGGCAAGAGATACTATGTTAAAAAAAATACCTCGAACAATACATCTATTACAGTACATTTTAAATATATTATTCAATTATACATAAACAAATAATTCTAGGATAATTTTAGTTAAAGAAAAGTTTATGTTTTGTTTATAATTGAAACACGTAAATGGTTAAATATCTCTGTTCGTGGTATATTTTTATCATTGTACAAGATGTGGCCAACAGCTGATTATGTAAACAGACTCGGGAAGTGTGTGGTGTTTCCTGTGGCCATTAAGATGATATAGATGGTCGTTTGATGATTTGTAGAGGTAATTTAAGCTATATAGGTCTCTAAATAATTATAATTCTTTTGTAGTTATTTATTATTATCTTGTAGCTCATACCAGATACAGTCACTTTTCCCTCTGTCGTTGATCGGGACATTTTACTAGAATATTTTAATCGATATTTATTTTATATCTATCATTTATGTCTGATTGGTCTCCGTCGAGGTCCAATATGGTTCAAAGTACCCCAGATTAAACCTTTTATGCTCAGAAGGGTGAAGTAACGCCCTCCTCTCACCCAAAAGTCAGTGATTGAATGTTTGGGTCACGGTTAGGTTAGGTTAGGTTAGATTAGGTTAGGTTAGGTTAGATAGGTTAGGTTAGGTTAGATTAGATTAAATCCTTACCAACCTAGCCCAAACACTGGCTAGTCTTCTTGCTTTAACACTGTTCTCCTCTTCTCCAGTTTTTCTTCAAGTGCATTATTTTAAACTTCTTATATTCCTTTAATTTACAGAAGTTGTTGGAAAACTTAAGTCAAGTTTAAGCCTTGAGAAGACCACTCTTTCTGTTGGTAATACTGAAATAGAAGACAAGAGGCATTATGCAGGTGCGAACTTTAGTGAGTTTAGCACGGACGGCTGTCAACATTTGGCCTGAGGCTGCACATGGGACAGTAAGAAACTCCCTACAAACAAGCAAAACTTCTTCACAACTTATATACAACAATTTCATGCGTCCATACTGGTAAGGGATCTTGTTAACCAATATTTGATGTGTTATTTCTCCAGACGTTTTTACTCTTAAGTGTCCACATTGTTTGATTTAGAACAATATCATAGATTGAAATATTTGTTGTACTAATCCTCACCTATCTCTGTTTCTTCTGTTTTACCACTCCTCTTTTTCCTTTTTCCTCAAACACTTTCTTGTCTCGGATACCAGGATGCCGAATAATTCTATGTCCTGGTTAATTAATGGTCGAGAAGTAACGTCTTAGCTGGATGACAACTCCTATGCTTTTCTCTTTCCTCAGTAGTGACTTAAGGATCTACACTCGAACGGGAGATAAAGGCGTCACGAGTCTCTTTACTGGGGAACGTTTGCCCAAAGATGATCTCTTCTTCAACGCTCTGGGGACAACTGATGAACTCTCTTCCCATGTAGGGTAAGACTGTGTAGGTGAAGTGAGTCACTCCGAACTTCGTGTATATACGGTATAATATATACTGTACAGTGAACCCTTGATCTAATGGGCTGTATAGGGGGAAGGATGGTCTGGTAAACCCACAAGTCCTTTGGAATCCCAAGAATCAGTCAGATTTTTTTTTTTTTTTTTACTAAACCTTTAGTAATTAGTCATAACCCGCTGTGAATTACTGGTAAAATTTGTTTGCCATGACTTCCCTATCTGTCCCTTTAACATATTAAGAGTATAATGTTTAATAATGAAGAGTTAAGATGTAATTATTCTAAGCATAACACAGTTGAAAAAATTAATTAAAGTATTTTATGGACTTATGACAAAGGACGAGCCTAAGTTACAGAAAAATTATTCATAACTCAGATGTTGTTATTAGCTCACTCACTGGTCTAGTCTACTTCAGGATGGCTAAGGAATATGCAGAGGAGAACAACCATGAGTATGCCGATCAACTGGAGAGGATTCAGTGCATCCTTCAAGACATCGCCACCCTCCTGGCCACGCCCCGGCCCCAGCACACTGCTAGTACGTACTTACGGCAAAACCTCCATTTAACGAAGATCAATCTAATGGGTATATTTAGTCTGTTATTGGGAGGTTTTGCATCTAACAGACCTCAGTATAATGGCCTGTACTCCCCAGCATATTCTGTTATAGGGAGGTTTCGCATCTAACGGACCTCAGTATGATGGACTACAAGCTCCCATATAGTCCATTAAAGAGAAGTCTCCCTGTATTCATCCTACATATTATTGTATATTATATAAAACCTCTAATTTTACCAGTCTCTTTTAAACCTCAGTTAGTCGCATAATTGTAATAATCAGCGAGGTGATCTGAATAAGTTGGTGTTATTTATTGTTAAAATGGTAAGTGGTGATAACTGATACTGTACACAGTTTTGAAGGGTCATTGGCCAGTTTTTATTCCCCCCAACTGAAAGGATGTGGTAATTGTGCCATTAGTCCATCCATCTGTCTGTACACTTTTGTTGTATTAGATTATTATTATTATTTACAACCAAACATGAAGTATCTGTTTTTTCAATTTATTTATTTTATTTTATTCTTCTTGTTGCTGCATGCAGGTGTTTCATCCATAATGGTATGTGTATAAATTCAGATTTTATTTACTATGCTTTTTCTTTTCATTTTTGTAATCGTTATCTTGCTTATACAGTACTGCAAACTGGCCACAATCGAGAGCAGACTCAGACGCATTTCTTTCACCTTCGTCCATTGACTTTAACTGCTGTCTCATCCCCATAAACCCATCGTCACCAAGCTTCATCTTACACATACTGTAATCGTAACATTCCAGCAACTAATGAAAATATGTTTAGTACTCAACACTAGTAAAGGGACCAATACTATAGAGTACAATTTATAAAACATCACCAAAATACTGTAGTAATGTTGAAGCAGTAAAGGTTCCATTGAATGAGTTACCAAAGAATAAAACTTTGATTATTGAACTTTTATTCAATTTAAGAAGCAGAATTATGAGTGAAAGACTCGGCTCACCTGCCTGCCTAGACCCTGAGTAAGGCATTTGTTAGTTGTCAGTTATTGTTATTTACACTTAGTCCTTTTATTGGTTATTCACTTAACCCTTTGAGGATGATGGTTTAAAAGTTAGCAGACAATATTGTGGCAGCTACAAGAGTGAACTCATTTAATTCCAGGCTTGACAAACATTGGAACATGTTTAGATACATTCCAAAGCACATACCTGTCACCAATACATGACAAGTGCTCAACAGAGAACTAACAAACCACCCAACTAAGTAGGGAGTTGACAAATAGCAAAGAGGATAAATAATTGTTTATCTCCAATGACATGATAATTTTTAACCATTTTGCATTCATTTCAGATGACCCAGAGAGAGAGGCACGTATCCGGGAGAGGCTCGCCTTCAACCCACGTCATATAACTGAGTTAGAAGGCTGGATTGACAAGTATAGTTCTCGCCTTCCTCCTCTCACCAATTTTATTTTGCCTGTGAGTTATTTGATCATAAGATGCACTATTCAGGATTTTCTTTATCAACAACATTTTGTGGCCATTTTCCACACTTGCAGGGGTTAGCCACGATTGCCTGATGGCAGCTCTACATGCTGCATAGTGTCTTAACTCCGAGGTCATTTTTTTACAAACTCTCCTTGTGTCTTTCTTGGCCTACCTCTATCTCACATTTAGATCCCTGTATCTCTTTGACCCAATTGGTCTCTTCCATTCTCCTCACATGTCCAAACTGTAGGTGTTAGCCACAATATGTAAGTGGCCTTTGTTTGCACTCCTGTTTTTTTTCTCTTGTTTTAAATACTGTACTTGTGTTTTGAATCAACAGTGCTAATAACATTCTTGATAAAAAATGAACCATTTTTTCCATGTGGTGATGTCACTTGACAGGGTGGTGGCCGGGTGAGTGCATCTCTTCACATTGCGCGAACAGTGTGTCGGCGAGCGGAGCGGAGTGTTGTGCCCCTGACCACTGAAGGCCTCGTTGATGAACAGGTTATCGTCTACATGAACAGGTAATATGATAAACAGTCATGGAAAGATTGTTTATTAGTACTGTATTTTCCTTTCATTTAATCTTGTTTCTATTCCCTTTGTTGAGATATATTGTATTGTACTACTGTATCTGGCAGAGTATTCCAACAGTTCACAACTCTCACTCTACAGAAGTTATCTCTGGCAGTTTTGTAAACGTGTGGCTTCTTTAATCTGAGGCTGTGACCTCTAGTGGGGCAGACACCCACTAGCTCCAGATACAGTACAAATACTTGACTGGGTAATGTGCTCTGAGGTGTTTACAGACTTCTATCAAGTCACCCCTTGTCTGCCTGTAGTATAAGTTAGGCAACTGCAGGCTCATTATGTTACATGACCTCCAAACCTCTAATACTGAACAATTATTCATTGCAGACTGAGTGACTACCTCTTCACAGTTGCAAGATATGCATCTTCACTGGACGGCCACAAAGAAACCATTTATATTCGACCACAGCCTCAAAGGTCTTCGGAGAAGGTGGAGAAAGATCTGTCAGAGAGCCAGGAGATAATCCGAAATGATGGCTGAGCCGAATTAAATCGACTGAACAACTTCCCCATACAAAAAAAATTAGCACCAATATCAAAATAAAATAAGGTACAGTACAGTATTTTCTTGGGTATAGTTGTCAGGTTCAGTTTAAAATGAGGTAAAGGAAAACCGTTTTAATTACTCTGTACGGTATTGTATTTCATATAGAACGCGGTCAATTTCTTCCCTCTATATACATCTATGTAATCTTACATGACTGATAAATGCATGAAATCTTATATGACAGGGATTAACAGTACGTATATCCTAAAAGCTTAAAACCTGGAACACCATGTAAGCTGTCATGTATCATATAACCTCGATGATAACTGCTTTACTTACATTTCTGTTAATACTCCTAAAGCAACTTCTGACATGCTTATACCTATAAAAGAATAACTGCACTTTCAACTTATAAATCGGGGAAGAAGAAATAAGAGAATGTGTATTACAGCCTCCGCCTAATAGTCAAGAGGTTAGTACAGTAGACTTGTCTGATTGTCTCACTTATCTCTCTCAGTATTGTATAAATTGTATTATTTTTTTTGTTATGTCTGTAAACTTGTCTTATAAATGCTTCCAAGTGATAGAGCTTTTTATTTTCACATCTTCAAAATATTTAAGAAGCTGGCACAAGTAGTCATATATACTATCATGCTTTATAAATACATTTGGCTACATTCTGATCCTCAACTTTACTACTGTCATTCATTGAAGAAATTGTTTTGATATACTGTAGTACAATTTAAATATTATTCTTATTAAAAATTATACTATGCCACAAAAGAGTATCACCATTGTAAAGTTTGGAACTCTGCCTTCTTTACCATTTCCCATCCCCTGAGATGACTGTTTCACTACATAATGTAACCTTCAGTGGAACATTTATTACTGTACTTTTATGTATTTAGATCTATGACTGTTTTTATGACAGGAAACATGAGCAGTGTTGTAAACCAGAGTGGAGATCAAAACACCAGATACAATGTACTACAGTATATACTAAAATAGAAATACTGTATAACATTTATTAATGAGATGAACAGAGTTATAACAGTTTAGTATATATAATCGTCTATCTTGAGAGAGCAAAATGGCCTCGACGCCTACACTCCAGTTTTACAAAGTGTTTTCGTGCATTACGTACGTTGATCAGGGTTGCCGCAGAAGCTGTGAAAGAAATTTATGGATTTAACATACGCTAAAAAAAATGGGAGCTCTTATACTTACCGCCACCCACCAGCATCACTTGATTACTGCCACCCACCAGCATCACTGTCTCCTATCTCTTACATAACCCTTAATCAGCAGCTATGGATTCCCTACTCCTCCACCACCAGATGTGCAGAAATGGAAAGCAAACGAACAAGAAACCTCCACAGATAATGGTCCCCATCCCTACAATTAAATTCCACTGATGATGGGTGTTCTTTAATACTTTACATTTGAGTAACGTTTTCTTTGATCTACCAATACAGCAATATCAATAAAACTTGAGGTAAATTTGAACAACAACATTCTCTCTCACTCACTGACACTGCCACTTCTCACCACATACTGGTTTACCACAGGTTTAAACCTGCATTACAATAAACATGATTTTTCTCAGGTAATCTTTAACGTCATAGTTAAATACCTAGCAGTGATTAGTGTAAACACAGAAATTTGTGGGTTAAATGCGTGTACAGTCTCCAAGTACTTACTCAACCACGAATACTCTCTCCTGTGGCAGTGTGTGTCAACAGGAAACATATTCCAGGCCTGCAGCAGGTGCTTTGTGGCGTGTGCAAAGCCATTTATGCCGATTACATTCTGGCAATTAAAATGGCATGTCAAACATGACAGGCACATACTGTCAACAGAGCAGAGGAGGCAGTTATGGTCAACTCTGGCAGTGTCGATTCTAGGCCAAGGGAGATCATGAGACCAATTACTGTCACCTGCTACAGCATCAACATACAGTCAGACGTGACATGCAAATCAGCGACATAGAATGTGTCCCTAGAATCACCAGTGGTACAAGAAGTTCTTCCCGCACCTGGTGGAGGTCATGCTCTACAATGCCTACAAACTGATCTGGCAAAAAACCATCGCTGCCAGATTTCAAACAATGTGGTGAGGCAGCTGTTGGGGAACTTTCACCCCACAGGTTCCACCCTGCTGGCACAAGTGGATGCCAAGTTCCAGCTACTAACCCTGGCAGACTGGTCAGTGGGCACTTCTTGTGCAACCTTTCAATAACTGAAAAGTCTAAGAGTCCCAGAAGAGCTTGCCACATCTGTTAGTGCACAGAGTTAAAACTCGGAAATGCCAGGATACATACTACTACTGCCTGGACTGCAATGTGAACCTCTGCCTTAAAAACTGCTTAAATGACTATTACACCAAGATGGAAGATTAGTTGATGCTGCAGTAAGTGCCACCTCAATGCTTCACAACTCACTTACACAGTATTGTACCAGCATTTTTTTATTTAAATAAAATTTGTTTAATATTGATTTTGAAGCACAAATTAATAACTATAATATAAGTTTCATAATTATCTTCCCCACCTTGCAATCAAGATTTTATTTTATATAAGACAATAAGATTAAATCATTCATGATTTTTTCTTAAATTCCTGCATTCCTCCAGCCAGCAGTTATGGCTGGAATTTGCAAGCATCATCCTCGAAGGGTTAAGTAAAAAATAATAAAAGAATAGTGATAATAACAATAATAACTGACAACTAACAAATGCCTTACTGAGGGTTTAAACAAGGAGGCAGGTGAGCAGTCTTTCACTCACGATTTTGCTTCTTAAATTGAATAAAAGTTCATTAATTAAATCTTCCATCCCCAAATCAAATATTTACTGAAAATCTAAAAAACAGATTTGTACATCCCTTCCATTCCTTCTCCATACTTGTGTAGAATTAGCCAACCCGGACTCCTTAATGTGACACAGTGATCAACACCAAGTTTACCTTAACTCAACAGCAGCATATGACCTGAACTGTTGTATCACCAGAGATGTAATTACCACCACCACCTAAACTTAACACAATCAATGAACTCAATCTCTGTCAATAGTTGTGAATGTAGAGTCTCAAACTTGAAGAAAACACAGTAAAGATAACTTACTTATTGAGGTGTCGGCCATTATCACCATACAGTATGTGCTGGAAGTGAAGATCTCAATGAAGGCAGCAAATTTGGAGTTACGCACTTCCATGGTTTGGAACTGCGCTGCTAACTTGCTGTAGGTCAAACATATAATACATTACTAATATCCCTTAAATAATATAAATGAAAAAATTGGACAAGATATAATAAGAAATGTTACTGGTTAAAGTTCTGGTCAAGAGTTATTAATGCCAAAAGCAATTGCAGTATAACAGATAATCAGTAACTCTTCTTTTGCTTTAACCATCTCCCATTTTGGAATCTACTCGTATCATGCTAAGATGGCAACCACTCTTATAACTGACTGACATCCCTTCATTTAGGCTGCATGGTTCATACATCCCACCCACCAATAGTAGTAGGATTTAAGGGAGTCAGATGCTGTGGAGGCAAATTAAAAAAACAGTCATACAAAACACAGCAAACCTCTCACTCAGTCAGTCTACTTTCATCAACTATTACCTCTAAAATTTGTATATCTTTGACAATGCCTTACAAGTTACAAAAATATTACCCATAATTTCATAACTAAGATTACAGTATAGACATATTTACGGAGTTAATGCACACACACTCACAGACACATTGAACTGACAATGACACCACCCCACCCCTTAGCCAAAACTATAGCATCCAACCAACAAAAGCTTTTCAATTTCTCTCCATTAAAACATATACAGGGAAGCTCCTCACTTATATATCAGGCAATATAAACAACTTCTCACACACCTGCAGGAGAGTTTGAACTGCTTGATGATGTTGGAGACCTTCTCAAAGCGGTTAACGTCCCTGTGAGAATTCGTGCGGTAGTGAGATATGACCAGGAACGTCGCTCTCTCAAACAGTAAAACTTCATCAGCTTCGATAACGTTGGCAAAGTCTCTTAAGTTTTGCTCCAGCTCCTTGACATTAGGGATAAGTTCATAGACAATGCTTGACCAGGCCTGAGGAAGAGGAAACATAAGTAAGAACCCAGTGACTGAATGACCGAGTGATGGATAATTCTCGGGGCAAGATTTTTTGGAACCATCATCTTCTACCGAGTGTAAGAACGACAGTGGTCAAAGATATTTATCCTCTTACTGAACACTTATCAGATAGTGTGTACAGTATATGACAATCTCCTCTATGACAAATAAACATTCATGGATATATTTAACCTAACCAAAACTAGACACTGGGTTTATCATAATCAAAGACTGTGAGAACTCAAGTGTCCTCAAGAAACAGAACAAATTTCAGGTACATTTAGAAATTCCAAACTAATTGTCAAATATCATATGTTACAAAACAGAATACATTAATAACTCTAACATATAAATTCATATCTCAGAGTACAAGCAAAATTATGCATAAGAATTTTCTCGAGTTCAGTATCAGTCGAGTTTTCAAAGGTGATTTAACTCCATTTTCTGGTGATAGGCCAACAAGGGATTCCAATTTACTGGAATATCAGAGCTGACTCCAGAGGTTCAAGAGACAAAGTGTAACTAAAATCCCTTCGCCATCAGTCACATAACCTGACACACATTCAAACTTCAACTAACTGTTCTGAATCTTCAATATGATCTTGTTCTTAGGCTTTCCTGTTTAATTTCTAGCAATTTTAATGGGGATGAGTCATGCTTCTTGAAGGTAAGCCGAGATCCAAACCATATCAGACTGGAAAAATAATGAAACAACAGTACTAATAATAAAAATACTAATAAAAATAAAGGAAATTAGGAATAAAGTAAATACTGCATCACCTTGTAAAGAGTTTCATCCCAAATTGAGGTCCTAAAGCAGATACATTTTAGAGGCTTTGATAATCGCTTCAGATCTTCTTCCCTCTCCCGAAAGATCTGCAATGATTGACAGTAAATTAACAAGCATACACTAATACAGTATACACTCACTTGTTCAAACAAAACCAACTTGCATGGACAATATATATTCATCTTTTTTACTTATATTTAACTAAAACCAAAAGTAAAACAGTTTAATGACAAATTTTATGCTTAACACTTCAATAAAAATACAAACTCACCAAAATTCTATCTATCTCCCTATTTATTTATCTATTCAGCTAATGAGTGTTATTAGGACATGTCTACCTAAAACGACACATGTGAAAAAATCTAAGTAAGCAAGTGCCAGATGTCATCGACTTAAGAGCTAAATTAAGCAAGCACAATAATTCACCAGCACATCCAAGACTTAACACATAAAATATACAATAATGAGAATGAAAACACTTAACAGGAAACTTAGAACAGTATGAAATTCAACAATGGTGTTTGAAGGCAGTCAACAAAAATGTGATGTACTCCCACTTCAACACCATGAGGGTTGTAGTGGACGTCTCCCCTACAAACTGCGTAGCTGCCACCACCTGCTACCGCCTCCCTAGCAACCAACCAGATGTTACCGTATCTTAGCAACGGAACTAGTCACCGGCGACTTTCTGGGTTTTCCCAACATGATTCATAGAGGACTGGCGGCTGCTGCTGGGTATATAAGCTCTGTCTCTCCATTGAGATTCATTCTGCCCATCTTCCTGAACAAGCAACACCTCCTCCGCCGCTGCCTGGCAGCCTTCGCTTCTCCTCGCCTGCCTGGCGGTCCTCGCTCCCGCCAGCGAGCATGGCGACCCACCAGCTGTCCTTCTCTGAGCTTCCTCACCAACCAACTCTCATTCTGCACCTCCAGCACCAGGCTGTCTATCATATAACTTATATTATACAAGAAAGCCACATTAGAGTTTCCTTCCATCCTGAGTGCTAGACAACATTAATATCTCGATACCCCTACAGGGTAACTGAAGCCCACTCCTCCCCTACACTACTGAAAATTCCAAGACATTATATAAATTATTACTTTAAGATCTCTCTGATTAACAAACATTTACAAATGATCACTTACAAGGTCTCTCTGATCATCCTGGACCAGATCCATCTTGTGTATGAGGCAGAAGACACGAGCCTCTGGGGAGTTCTGCAAAATGGCCTCCAGGCAGCTCTGGTAATAGTGCATGTCTCTCTCTGAGTAACACACACACACACAATACAATAATTAACCTCTAGAGCAAACATTTGGAACAGATAACACAGTTCTTATCCTTTTTGAGACAATGGATTTGATGTCCAGGGCTTTAGTAAAGTTTATTGAAAAAAGGGGAAAAAAGAGCATACACTGTACTGTATACATTAGAATATTTGGATGCTAGTTACTGCATATATTAATTCTAAGGTACACTCACCCAATTCTCGGCTCTCTACATCAAATACGTAAATGAGCACTTCAACATTTCTGAAGATGTTGCCTTTCTGAGAAGTAAAGTAGTTCTCCATGAACGTTTCTTGTCTGTTGAATAGAGTGTAGCTACATGTAGTACTCTTATTATTCATTGATATATATGAATTACTACATTGTTGACATAGGTCACCTGATCCATGGAAAGGGTAAAAAAAAGCAAAAAGCAAATTAGTAATTAACAGTTTCCCAGACAACTATGCATGAACCCAGGCAGGAGGGAGGGTGATGACAGTATGTTAGTGTTTGTAATGACTGGGTGGAGACATGCTCTTAACAGACCTCCAGCAGGCAACCTCTGCATCTAATCGCCAATATTTGATATACTATGTAGATGTGATGAGGAGGGATGAGTGGTTGACATCTTGGCTCAAGCTGCCAGAAGGAATAAAGGGAGATGGACTGACCATTCCTCCATTCCAGACATGTACAAGAGCTGCCTAGCAGAAGGTATCAGTTAAAAACACTTGACTGTCAGTAGTACTCCAAAACAATGGGTAAATGTTTTAATCTATATGTATACCCTCCACGGCTTTAAATATTCTCCGAACTCAAGAATGACATTTGTGTTCCATTTCTTAGATCAGGTCACATAAGTGTTAAGAACCTTATGGCAAGTTATACAATGGACCTCATTACTTAATTGACAAAATTAAATCCAAAGAGTTTATTAACATTGTACATAAATACCCAAGATTTCACTTGTTTAATAATTTTCATATACTGTATAGTAAAAGTAGGTCCCACTGGCCCAGTGTAAATATAATAACGTATGCTAAACCTTCAATACACAAGGAGGCAGTATGACCATCACTTAAACACCTTCACTTCCCAACTACATACTGTAAAGTTAGGTACCCATTTCCAGCTGGGCAGACTGGGGGTTCCCTGGGATAGAACCATGGGCGTCTGCAGGGAGGGGCAAGGGGGCATTGCCCCCCCTGGAAAATAAAAAAATTGAAAAAATTACATGGAAAATACAAAATGAATAAAATAACAAACATTTCTCAACAGTTCATTCAGTTAGAGCAGGTTACTACTCTTGGAACAGGAATTGGAGCCGTCGGGGATCTCTTCCGAAATTGTCAATGATGTCTTCACACTTCACACGTCGAATTCAGGATAACATTGCCCCCCCACCTGCATTTTTTCTGCGGACGCCCATGGATAGAACCAACAACCCTCAAGACAAGAGATGAGAGTTGTATCCATTCAGCCACTGTACCCCATCATGCTTGATACCATAGATGTAATGGCCACCATACTCACCCTCCACAATCCCACAAGTTCAGTACCAAGTTGCCCAGAAAGAGTATATGGGAGTGCTCGACATCAACTGTAATGTACAAAAACAACACACCAATACAGTACTTATTCCACAACTTCTCCAAAAATGCAGAATAAAATCAAGAAAGAAAGAGAATGGGATGTACAGACTGGCTAAGAGGGGGGGGGGGGCACAGTGTGTGAATAGTGGAATAAATTTACAGTTGCCAGCAAAAGTCCTTCCACGGCCGTGTGTAACTTTTGCTGGCAAGTGTACACCCCAGTTGACTCCATGGCCTCGTCTGATGAGCAATTTGAATTTTCAGTCAAATCAACCTTCCGAGAAGTGAATAGCACATTCAGATAGCGAAAAAGGAGGTGTATGAATAGAATTTTTGGCAGAGTGAATTTTGGGTTAGCAATCACTCAGATACCGAGGGATACCTGTACTGTATTTCTTGATCTATCCTTTCATTAACTTCCCATTTTCACTTAATCTCGGTAAGAAAAATAAACAAACAAATAACCTGAAAACAAAAGGACATATTTATGTCGATAAAACTCACTTGTTGCTCCAAGGCGACTGGTGTCTCGGGCAACGTAGTTGGCAAAAATGATGGACCTCATACTGGTCTTCCCAGACCCACTCTTGCCCATCAACAACACCTAACAATGAGAGGATGACAATATAAATCAACATCAACATGATTTAAATATCATTGTATACAGTACTGTAATGGCAATTTGTTTTATTTTATTGTTATCCTCTTCACCACTGATCGGCTCATTAGCTGCTTGGTTATGTCTCTGACGCACAGCTGGCAAGTACTGTTCCATTTCGTTCATTTTTTCCACATATGTTCTTTGGATGATACTAAGTGATATATGATACACCAATGCACAGAACTCAATAGAGCCAGACTTAACCACAGAAAACTACCTAACCTTCCCAGGACCCCGACCAAATTAGGAAGAAAGAACTCACTTTGCTATCTGGTACCAATAGAAGCAACTATCTTTTTGAGGCATGGTTTAATTTTACGTCAGTTGTGAACGTCATAAGGGCACCAATTAAAAAACAATATCGCATCTCCCTCAGTCCTCCCTCCCCCCCCCCCTTGCAGAAGAACAAAAAGTATATGAACATACAATTCACTTATTAACCAATCCTACTCATATGGTGGTATCAGCACATTTGCCCAAACTACGACAGTGTCCAGGGCAAAACACAGTGAAATTGCTGCACTTTTTAAAATTAACTTTCTATGAAAATGAGGCGATGAGTGTTGGTCAATAATAACCGCTTAAGAACCATCAACCCAATAAACCACTCAATCTGTCGTCATTAATTATACTCAGCAGTGAACAATAGTTAAAAGACTAATTATTTTCCAAACATAACAATACACACGTCAACTAACCTTTCTCTTCATCTTGTCTTCTTCAAATACCTAGGAGACGAGAGGAGCAGAAATAAAACGGCAACTCCTCAGTCAAGTTCACACTGGTGATACTTCGACTCTCCGAGACGCCGAGCTGCCGAACCTAGTCTGAACCTCCGATTAGAGTCGAGGGGATACGAGTCTTTCTTTATTGTCATATCAACATTCTGCGTTACTGGTGATATTAATCTTATATTTATCAGTTTTAAATACGTGGTATTTTATGGAAATAATTAAATAGTGGTAGTTTAAGTTATCTATGAGGTTTACATTATTTGAATTGGAAATGGAATGAGGCTTTTACATACGGACGTATTGTACGAATGCAGGGGTGTGCTGCTAATTTCTTAACAACCGGCCAACTAGTCTACAAATTTTGACAAATTTCGTGCTTCAGAGATAAAATAGTTTTCCCGTTACGGATTTTGGGGTGCTGAAAACGATTGACAGGTTTGTAGTGGATTTTTCCCCCACAAACGCTGTTTGTCCTGTGTAGCCGACCCCACCAATTCCTCAGTGTATGCCTCGTGGTCTAGGTCAACCAGCGCCGCCATACATCACGGAGCGGGGGTCAACTACTAAGCCACGCCTACCCCCCTCTATTTAAGACCTGACCTCGTGTTGACCTGTCTCTCTCTACCTACACCAACCAGCCAGCAACACCACACCTCCTCCTCCTGCCTGGCGGTCCTCTCTCCCGCCGGCGAGCATGGCGACCCACAAGCAGGGCCGGTTTAAGACTTTCGTAGGCCTTAGGCACCTCCAAGATATGGGGCCCCATTTGACAGCATATTCACTAATAACACAAGCTAGTACCTAATTATAAAATGTGATGTCGAAAGAATAAGATAATCAAGTAACATAAATGATACTAATAGGATTAAGTAATAAATAAATGGAAAAAAGTACCTCAGTATCAATTTAATAATAACCTGTAGAAAAAGGGGAAGAAAAGTTCTCGTATTATTTTTCGTAGGCCCCCAATATCTCGTAGGCCCTAGGCACTGTGCCTACTGTGCCTAATGGATAATCCGGGCCTGCCCACAAGCTGTCCTCCTCTGAGCGTCCTCACCAACCAGCTCTCTCTACATCACGCTTGTAACCATGCTGCCTTCCCAGCACCAAGCTGCATTGTACATCCAATATAACATGTACAGGTATACAGAGAGCACATTGTGAGTTTCCTTTCTCCATCCCATCCTGAGTGAACACCAAACAATCCCATACCCCACAGGTTAGTGTCCAAGAAAATTTCATTTTCACATTTTGTATACATGTACTGCATACAATATATTAGTAACATAATGGTCACTTACTTATCTTGATTAAACCCGACGTTTTTTTGCTTGTCTCTTGTATTCAAGTTCTGAGGTATTTCCTGTTAGTGTCCAACAGTAGTCTGCTAACACTGATGGGCTCCATTTTCCCTGGTAACGTTTCTCCATCGCTGAGATATCCTGGTGGAAACGTTCGCCTTGTTCATCGCTGACAGTTGGCCGGAAAATATTCAGATGAGAATGGAAGAAATGTATCTTCAAAGACATATTGTAGCCCATTTTTTGATAGGTCAACAGCAGGTTTTCCACCAGCTCCCTGTAATTATCAGCTTTGGTATTTCCGAGAAAATTGGTTGCCACTAACCGGAAAGCATTCCACGCTGTCACCTCACCACTTAGTTACAGCCAAACTCCTCACCTCTCCTCACAGCTCACGGATCTGTGGACCAACGAAAACACCCCGCTTGATTTTTGCTCCACTGAACTTGGGTTATTTACCACCGAGGTACTTAAAGGCTGCCCCCGTTTTATCCATAGCCTTAACAAAATTCTTCCTGAGGCCCAGTTTGATGTGTAAGGGTGGTAATAAAATCTTGCTCGATTCTACAATTGGAGGATGCTGAACATTTTTTGTTCCAGGTTCCAATAAGTGTTGGGGTGGCCATTCCCTCTTGGTGTAATGGAAAGTCCTTGCCCGACTATCCCAAGCTCAACTGATTGGCTTGTTAGTGTGTATTACACACTAACAAGCCAATCAGTGGTTAAGATGAATGGCCCGCCTTATCCTGCTATCATGACGTCACTGCTCGGAGTCATGATTCCTACTCAAATAAAAGCTTATTAAGAGTTTTATACATATAAGAAAACAAGAAATACTAATAATTTTGAATAAATATTATATAAAATAATTTTATAAAGTATTCTATTACTTTAAAATGATTCTGTATTCTAAATATTATCAATAAAATCACTTATTTCAAGAAAGCTTCAATATATAAGCCGTAGTTAAGGAGTAAGACATTCCCAGTGTTAGGTAGTGAGAGGTACAACAGGTAAGGTATTAAATCACCTCATAACCACTAATGTAGCCCCAATTAAGTCAAATAATGGTCCTACATGAATAAATCGGACTGCCAATCACTTCTCGACTGGTATTTGATGTCATGAAGTCACAAAAAATTAAAAAAAAAAATATTTGAGTAAATTTTTTGGGGGCAGGTATATATTTACTTAATAGCATGTACAGTCCTAATATTTGATCTAGCTAAATTACTGTGCATCCTCTACAGAAACATTCTAAATGAGATGACGAGAGGTCTTCACCACCTGCTGATGGGCCAGTGTGCTGTGTGCATTATGGTGTGCAGCAGAATCCAGTCCACAGCCAGTCACCCACCACCAGTCACCACCTTACCTACTTCACCCCACACATGGAACCTATTTGGTAAACCTGGGGATGGGTACTACACACAACTTGAGATTGGCACACCCCCACAAAAGGTTATTAAATTTTGCACAGGAATTTTATGCAAGTAAAATCTTCATGATGTACTGTACTGCATAATGTGTTTTTAGTTGCATATCATTAGGCACTCGTGTTTGTACAGGGATGCCTTGTGTAAATACAGTAATAAAAGAACAAGAAAGCTTAGGGAGTCAATTATCTTGTTGCTAATGGATTCTTGTGTTTCAGTTTAATGTTCTGGTGGACACAGGAAGCAGCAACCTGGCCATCGCTGGGGCTGTACACAAAGAATTGGACACCTTTTATGTCAGACAGAACTCATCAACATACGTGGACCTGGGCAGGGATGTCAAGGTGAAGTATACACAGGTAAGCGATGTGTGTTAGCCACCAGGTGACATCTCTCGGTAAACAGTATGACTCGTCCCATTCTCAGATACAAGTGTGGCATTTAGAATTCTCTTTACAACCATGAACATTGTGAATCCCCATTAGGGTTGTGTTTTTTTTTGTGTGTGTGTACATTTCTTTGTGTGTATGTATACATCCATGGATCTTTATGTATACTGTATATAGAATGTGATGCGAGAGATAAAATAACACTACCCATATACTGTAGCTAGTATATTATATAAGGTATAGTTATTGGTATCCTTAACTTACAGAGACAGGCAGTACAGTGAGTTTTTAGCCATGATACACATTTCCTCATCAATCTACTGTACACTCTCTCTCCAAGAGGTATCTTTACGGAGGAGTCCGATGAATTTCAAAATGAACACCGCGTCTCCTATTGTCTCAGTATGGTTGTCAAAAACCTTCACCCATTGTGTCACATTGTCTCGCACAAAATTGCCAAGACTTTTTGGAGTGAATGTACAGTACATACTAACCTGAAATATCTGGACTATAAAGATGATTATTGTGAATATTTTCTCTTTGTTTGTATAGAGCAGTTGGACTGGCCACGTGGGACGTGACCTAGCCCAGTTCCCCAGCGTCCCGGGCACGTTGCCACTTGTGACTGACTTGGCACTCATCACCGCCTCGGAGAATTTTTATGTGAACAACTCTCATTGGCAGGTGAAGAAGTTTATACATTATCTGTATACAGTTTATAAAATATCATAAAAATTATAAATATTGTGAAAATACAATTAAAGGGGTAATTATTTACTTTTATAAAATTGAAAAATCGTCCTTGTGTCAGGCAGATGGGTTGGAGGCAGTCAGTGCTTGGGTAAGAATGGGTCTCCTAACTATAGATTTGACAATTTTCAAGCCTCAGTCTGGAAGTTGGTTCACATCATTCATTAGGTCTTGACATTACTGTGCATTAAATCATAATACATATGGTAATGAAGGTGGGAAGCTTCTGAGGCATACATGTTCTCAAGATCTTTGCATCATCTGTAGTTGTCTTGAAAGATGTTATGTCCATCTGTTCTATCCTTCTTCATTTGTATGCCATTATTTTGTAAGGTTAGTATCCTTGTCTTATACTGTGAATTGTTGAGAAAATTTATCCACTTACTTCTGAAGCGAAATTTCATGTTAACTTGGAATATTTAAATCATTTCCTATTTTGGGAGTGCTGGTGGTAGAGTGGTATCGCTCTTGCCTTCGCAAGCGAGATGTCACGGGTTCGATTCCCGGGCCGGTGGAAGTTGTTTGGACATACTTCCTAGCCCCCATTAGTCCCTGTTCACCTAGCAGTAAAGTAGGTACCTGTTGTAAATCGAAAGTTGCGAATTCGTATTCAGGGACAAGTTGTTGGAGCTTCCAATAACTTGATGACATAAACCATTGACTCTTCAGGCTTCTATGCCCTTAACTTATGAGACATAAAGGCAAGCATGAACTTAGCATGCTTCCCTGTTGGGCACTGTAAACGCTTCTGGGCTTCACCCTACACAAAGATGTAGGGGGGTGCCCCCCAAAAAAATAAAACAAAATAAAAAATAAAAAAAATCCTATTCTTGCTGGCTTCAGATACTCAACCCACTTATTGAAGGATCGATTCTGATATCCCTCTTCATGGTTGAGCCAGAAGAATGGGGAGGTGCACATTAGCTAATGTGATATGTGCTCAAGTGAATTTTTTCTCCTTAAGTCTTCGAGGGAAAAGTCTTGCCTCTAAATACATACTTTACGGTTCTCATTACAATAGGGTGATTCTCCTAATGTTTTATATGGATCCCACACATTGTCACTTGTCATAGACACTGAAGTCACAGTTCATAGTTAGCCAACTCTACCAAGTACACGTCTGATATGAAGTACTGTACTTGGTTAGTTTTGTACTGTAAGGGAGACTATGCACGGATGACCCTGTACTGTAAGGGAGACTGTGCACGGATGACCCTGTACTTTAAGGGAGACTGCACGGATGACCCTGTACTTTAAGGGAGACTGCACGGATGATCCTGTACTTTAAGGGAGACTATGCACAGATGACCCTGTACTTTAAGGGAGACTATGCACAGATGACCCTGTACTGTAAGGGAGACTAAGGTAAGGTATACTTATTATGGTCCTACAGTAAATCTCTTTATTTCATTGCACTTGGACTATAGCCTCATCATTTTACTCGGGCATTTAATCATAAGGCTTTAAATTTCAGGGGATTGTGGGTCTGGCCTTCTCAGCACTAGCTCAGCCACAAGGTTCAGTTATACCATGGTTTGACGGCCTTGTTGCCCAGAACCATACTGTTAACTCATTTACCCTGGAGCTGTGTGGACCGTATAGAGAGGAGGAGGGAATATTTCATCATGTGGGACAACTGTTTATTGGTGTGTTGAAAAAGTTTTGTCTTGTGAATTGTGTTGGATAGTCTAGTGCCTGGAGGGGTAATATATACTCATGTATAAATTCATTTACTTCTGTATTTTTGTTTGAAATTTCATGTTTTTTTTTGTTTTTGTTTTTTATATGTTGTTGAAGTTACTGTTGTTGTTAGAACGATTTGTGAAAGTGAGTTATCTAAAGAGTTAATTAAAAGAATATGAAACACTGATAAAAATAGGCAGCGTGGAAGTGGTATTGATTAAGTTTTATTACCCCTCCCAAAAACATGCAATACATTTCTAATTGTACAGATACTAAGTGCTTTGTATTTCAGGGAAAGACACCGGTGCTTGTCCATCCCCCACTGTGACCAGCCCCATCAGACGAGCGTGGTTTTACGAGGTGCTGATGGTGGCTCTAGTCATTGGGAAAAAAATGCTGAATCTTCCATGTGTAAAGTACAACACAGACAAGACCATCATGGACTCAGGCACCTCTAACCTGAGACTCCCTTCTGAGGTACACACTGCAGTGAGATAACTATTTAACAGACAATACTGGAGTGTAGTCTGTTATATCGAGGTCTATAATATGTGAAACCTCCATATAATAAAATATACCCCTGCTATTTTTTATGTTTATTGCAATATCTTATTTACAGGTGTATAAGATAGTGATATCAGAATTAGAGTTGCAAACTTCTGAAATAAATCCACCACTACCACAAGAGTTTTGGGCAGGGAATGAAGAAATTTGCTGGCGACGGGATCAAGAGGTATGTTAATTGTTTGTGTGTCTGTCCCACTGAAATTCTCATCCACAAGTATGTAAAAACTTTAAGTATGTCGTAGATTATTACATAAAATATAGACACGATTGTGTTATCTATGGTCAAATTAAAGGAGAAAAAGTATAAACGGTCTAGTGTTTGCAGCACCATAACTACTGTACCAACTTGGCAAGCCAGTCAAAAATATACAGTACTTCCTTTAGTGCATCAAAAACAGAAAGTAATTGTGTGGTGCACCTCCAATCCCTTAAACAAAATGCAATAATACTGTTCGAGGCATATGAAGCTTTTAAAGGAGCATAATATATATTTACCATTTATCTTTCCCAATTAGGTAACTCCAGGTGTATATATAAAACGTTTGCCATCTTTACTAGGTTTGGGACGCTTTCCCCAATATAACCATCCACCTGGCACACAACAACAACTCTGCATTCGCCATCACCATCCCACCACAGTCTTACCTGCGTCCTGCTCAAGACTCATTCAGCGGTTGTTGGATGTTGGGGATTGATGAGTCTCAGTCTGGTACTGTGTTAGGTATGTACCTGTACTGTATGTGAATGAATGTTATGTATATTGTTATTGGGGCAAAGATTTCTTGAACTTTTTTGGTGCAAGGTAAATTAGTACCTCCCCCATGAACCAGAAATCCTTGTAAATCAGTGTTTGCCTGTACAGTATATACAGTCACGATCAGACAGTTATTTAAGCATCATTTATTGAAGATTTTTTCTTTCATGTACATTATTGGACTTTTTTTTTTTAATGTCATATATTGAATATTATTAGGTAACTAGTGAATGTGATAGTGTGTGTTTTGATGTGTTATCTCTCCCAGGTGCTGTGATATTAGAGGGACTGTGTGTAACATTTGACCGTGAGAAGAGTGTGATTGGCTTCTCCGAGTCAGTGTGTGGGCCATCCATTACTTTAGGAAAGATCTACAATACCACAGGTGGTAATATCAAAATTACTTAGGTTATTTAAGAGTTAATCAGATTATCTTCTTGCCTTCTACATAGACATATTGTGAAGACTATGTGTTATGCCATTGTATTCCCCATCATATTTTTATCTGATTTACTTTGCTATCAAACTGGTAAGGTTATGCCATATTAAAGTTACATCTCTCTTCACACATTCACATACTAATCTTTGAGTATTCATGGGGAATACATGTTTCAAATAGCTGTGTAGCTGTGAATCCTCAAATGCCATAATCACAAAGTAATTAATCTTTATTTATGTGCTACACCTATCATATGTGTACTGTATATTTATGTTGTAATTAATAAAAACTCAACTTTATACTCTTTCCTACTTACTGGTTTGTTAGTCATTTGGGCATAAGCAAATTAAACACTATTCTTTTCCTCTTCATTGTTGTTGTTGAAAATAGAAACAGCATTATTATTTATAGGAACTTACAGCCTGGGTTTGTCTTACTTTACAGACTTAAGATCGTGTGTGTACGTGCCAGATGTAGTGGACGGACTGACGCTAGCATCATACGTAATGGGCGCATTCCTGGGACTACTGTCACTGCCCCTTGTGTTAGCAGGATTAAGGTGGGCTTGGAGGTCTTTCATTAGACCGAGCCTAAACCCCGAAGTACCTTTTCTTACCTTGGATGAGACAAATACTTGAGAGTTTTATACGATAGCTTACATTTGGTACTTTTTTTATATAAATGTCGTATTGTTGTTTAATTGGTATTGATATATATCGATTAAATGATTGTATGATAAAAGTTATCAGGTATTCTGTGGTGTTCATACATTAACAGGTCATAACCAAGGGCTTCTGTCCGTGATTTATCATGAAACCGGTAGTCTACAGTATTTATAAGGCTTGTTCTTTTTTATCAATAATTTTGAGACTTTTAATACTATTTCAAACTTGTCACTGGAATACAGTAATTTAACTCGTCAAAATAAGTCGTTGTACCTGGTAATTTACTCATCTAAACATTTTCGGTGGCACCCATTAGTTTTACTTATCTAAACTTACAGTGGTATGTGGTATACTTACTCACCCAAACTTCAATGGTATCAGCTAAAAAGGCCAGATCTTAGTTCATTACCCTCTAACTCACAGCGATTCTTGAACAACACCTTTTAATTATTACTAACTTACATAACAAGTACTGTACCGCATGAGATAACAGTGTGCAATATTCCTAGATGGAGGAATGTGTTCAATTTTTTTTATTTTAGTGGTAATAGTATGTTTATTTTTAAGTTTTTAATCCATTATTATAACACTTGCGCTACAGGTGATGATTATGGTTAAGTGACTAATCGTGTGGATTGCTTGTTAATTAATCTTAATGAGTTAACGTGAATAGAAAAATCGAGCTCGTCAGGAAGAAGGCAAGAAATATGTTTAATGATTTTTATACTTCAGATTTTTGTGACTGCTCGACCCATGCCATAATACTCATTAATAAAAAATTACAGTATAAGCTCAGAAATCCACAGGGCTGTTGGAACTAAAGGCTAGCCAGATTTATGAAGTTTTCCTATGTTGGAGTTCCCCGATGGTAAGTTTATAGCTCTGTTAGTGATGTACACCTCCCAAGTAGAAAATTACCTTGCCCAGGGTGTAAATGTATAAATCTGAGGTGAAATAAGTACTGTACAGGTAATGTTATGTGGTTTTGTATGTGAGGCAGATGTAAATAGGCAAAACAAACTAATGACACCAAACCCACCTGAATGAATTTTTATTTACAATAAGTTTGGGTTTGGTTGGTTTGCATTTAATTAATGGTGTTTGTCCACTATTTTTACTGATACTTGGTACACTTGTTTCACCTCATTTTCATACATTTAAACTCTTAACTGGAATTTAATTATATTACCTGCTCTTGATGTGTGATACCAAACAATAACAAAATATACAGTTACTGTAGCAGGCCTACAGATTGGTACACACTGCTGTGTTTTATAGCTATATTGTAACATATTTCAGCAACTAAATTGTAGAAATTGGATTTGTAAATATTCAGTAATGTATTGTAAACATAACTTGAGTATTTAAATATTTACCTTGTTAGTTTTAAATAGTATTTTACCTTGTTAGTTTTAAATAGTACTTTACCTTGTTAGTTTTAAATAGTACTTTACCTTGTTAGTTTTAAATAGTACTTTACCCTGTTAGTTTTAAATACTGTAGTACAAAGTCATAACATACAGGAATAAGCACTGTCACAAATGAGGTCCAGTTGATTACTGTTGACACTAGTGAGGTGCAACACAACCATCAACATACTGAACTGGCTGCTGTTAGTGAACTTCAGGTTGATTTCAGTATTTGATTATTTTTCACCGTCTTATAAATTTACCGGTTTTCTTAATTCTAGATAACTATTTAATTGTTTTCGGAGGATGTAAAATACCATATTTTCCATCATACTAGATGTACCCATATTTTACCAGGGAATATCTGGGGAAAACAAAAAGTCTCAAGAATGTGAGGGTTGCATTCCAAAAACTAAAATTCCTTAAACCAAAAACTATTAAAGGTAAAACGGAACAATGCATTCCACAGCTTCTACACTACTGCCCCAGACCAATTTCTATCATTGTTACAATAGTAAAATGACAATCATCTACAATACAAATATATAATACGTTTCAAATATGTAGAGACTCCAATACTCACACACATAAAGGGTCATGCTCCCCACTAGAGTGTACAGTATGTGATGGTCTTTCACTGTCATCCTCTCTTGCAGGTTTATTTAAAAAAAACAATCTACAGTGAAACCTCTACTTAACGGACTATGTAGAGAGAAAAGTCCATTATATCGAGGGTCTATTAGATGTGAAACCCTCATCTAATGGATTATATGTATAGAGAACTGTCATATGGAGGCTTCGCTGTATTTTGTATTGTGTAAATTATTACAGTATTAAGGTGGGGTGAGTTTTTGGATCCCTCTTTTGTTTTTCCTTTTTTTTTTTAAGTATTGTACATCTTATGTGGCGGGAAATATAGTACTGTACCTGTGTGTAGAGGAAGGACATCACTCAATCAGTGAATGGACAGGTACATGTGTGTGTATGTAAGTCTGCCAAACATAAATGCCAATGAATTTTAAGTTTGATGACATGTTAAGGTGTATGGTTATAAAACAGTTGTACTTCACTTTGCTGGAGTAATCTTTGCAGAGGATGACCTGATTGAAGAAAAACTAGTGTCACTCCCCTTCAATTTCCTGGGGAGACCAAGTACTCATAACCGGTCGAGTCATCCTTTGTAAATGTATCGGTTAACTGTATGAAGCAAGACAATTGTTCCAGAATGTGAAAAAGTTTACCTTATTGTAAATTTTATATTTATTTATCTAAATACACGTTATAGTAATAGTATTGTGGTGTTAGTGTGTTCATTATGATAAGATATGTACTGGGAGGATCAAGTTTTGGACCATGATGAAATATCTGGTGATACTGTATTAGGAAGAAAAGGCACACTATTACTATTAATGAGTAAATTAAAATACCTGTAATGCCTTTCAAATTCCCTTGTGAGCTGCCCTCCCTCTGCCTCCAAGCAATAATTTCTTTTCTCATCTAACTACTCCTCAGGTACAGTATGCAAGGGGGATGTGATAATTTAAGGCAAGAAACATAAATTATCAGGATGTTCTTAAGGTAGAGCTGGCAGGAATCAGTCCTATAGCATAGAAAATGAGGAATTTAGTGACTTAGAGGAGTTTGAAGTTGGAGTACGTCCCAGCAAGAAGCAACAGAGGGAATAAAGTCTCAGTGGGTGGTGGCGGTGCTTCCCAGACAACACAACAAGTCACAAATATCAACATTTTGAGGTACAGTAAATATATACATTTTTGTATGTATTGTTTACACACATAATATACATGTAGCTACTGAACACACTAACATAAACTGTATACATTATATTATACATATTGTATTGCTGTATATAATAATGGTTTAATAGTATATGGATACATGGCACATAATTATAAAGAAAAACATTTTTAATATAGTCTCCAAGTGATTGATGTGCAACCGAGAATAATGGGTTACTTGTGTCACCCTCTTCGAACAAATCGTCCAGGATTCTGCCCCGTTTCTACAGTAATCGAGGGTCTACCCCCCAGAATCAGTATGATAAATCCCATTTTCAACCATGTGCTCACATTAGATTTATTGAGGTACTGGAGCATTATATTTGTTTATGGTTGCTTGGTTTCTCCATTCACTTTGCATATACTTGTGACCTTGCCGACCAAATTACTCAAATTCACCCGAGCATAACGGTGCAGTTATTTAACCCTCTGGGAGTACTGGTACCTGTAACCATAGGAGCTAGGATATGTTTACAGAAATTTGGGATCAAACACTCTCGGTAATTACGCTTATGGTACCACTATATATCTTATAAGTGGAGTTGGAACAGTGTTCACACAGACTAAGGTAGTGCCCATTACACTGAAAACGGTTTCCAAATTTGAATTGACAGCAGTCCTAGCACCAAGACTGATTTAATTTGTTTTCATAGCATATAAGGGAGTACTAAATATCAAGAAAACATATCTTTGGTTTGACAGTTAAATATTATCTCCTTACTGGTTGCACTGTACTCCAGCAAACACTTAAGAACCAGAGTTTTTCTCTTCCCAATGTAATGTAATGTAGCAACAGTAGAGATGACTGAAGCACAAACATGCGTGGGGGAACATAGGTCTAGTTAAACACGCGTGTGAATATGTACAGTACTTTGCCCCATTACAGTACAGAACACACTTTAGTGGCAGCTGTACAGTCACTTGGCTTTGTCTGGGGTAGCAGGAGACAGCTGCACATTTCCCAGTCCTTTTACAGTTCACAATCACTTTAATCACCCAAAAATGGCCTCACAAAGTCACTGTGATGATAAATTGTAGTCAATAAGCACAACAATCAATCCACAGCGATGTAACACAGGTAATCAGGTGGTTTAAGAGCGGTGACCGAACAAAAACACTTTTGATGCATGTAGGTACAGGCACGAGAAGAAAGGTTCAGGTAGTGGTGAGTCTAAAGGCCGGCCATTTTGGGATGACAAGCGAAGAGGAAGATGCATACAGAGCTGCTACCGAGTAATATTTCTTTAAATTTCTTGACACAGCATACATTATACAGAGAAAGTTCAATCCCATTGTGATAAAAGGTCGTTAAAAACTTAAATTGGTGTATCAAAGAATCACAAGTCAGGAGATCATGTATTGAGGGATGCCCAAGTGTATAGGTACTGCTCAACATGCTGATTAACCCCTTCACTAAGGGGATGCCTTTTAATAATTTATTTGGCTAATGCCAGACAATTGTATTCAGCAGAGAGGGTACCCTGTACACAAGTGGTTAAGGATCTGAGATCAAAAAGTTAAATTTTTTGGTGATCACTTTCATGAAATTGTTGCTTCCTTTTAATTGCACAAGGTAAGAAAATCATAATGAAGGGTTTCACCATTTATTATTACACTTAACAAGGGCAGAATGCCCAATATATTATGATATTCCCTTTAGGAATGTTTATGAAGACTCCTTGTTTACAGGGGATTCAGCATTTATTACAGATCCATATCTGACAAAAGATTTCCTATGGGATCCTATATGTTGGCATTAATATGGATCCAAGTCTGACATACAATTATTATGAAAGCGCAACTCATTTTGAGACTCCACATAAAAGTCATCTTCAGTCAACATTATCTTAATGAGAATCAAAAGCTTATTTTGACACAAAAAAATATATTGACTTCTTTCCACTCTAAATAAAAAAAATTAATAGCATACATTGAAAGAAACCTACCGTACACTATTCTTGATGGGGAGCCTTTCCTCAGAAATACAGACCATCATAATAAAGTCATCTTTACTGTGGGGACACCAGTCATAATATTTGCCATTCAGTCGGTCAACAAACCCACAACTACATTTTTAGTGTCGTGCCATATGGGGAATGTTTAGTTTTTTTTTTGTTTGTTTGCACAAATTCCTCTCCTGATACTTGGGTACTTTTATCACAGTAACATATACTTTTAAATGGAATTATCATCCATACTTATAAGTTATCTACTACAGCTAAATTCATACATGTACAAATAAATTATAGAAATATTTATTGTATTCTACAGTAGAGAACAGTTTGCCTACTACCAAAAGTCAGTTTGTTGCATTTTGAAATTAAATAAGATAGAAATTGACACTGGCTTTACCATACAATATGTAGTTAAGCAAGTTACAGTAGCAGAACACTGCAGACCTCTGAAACATGGCTGAAAAAGCACTTTTGTAAATTAATATTACTCAAGACATGACACTTGAGCTTTACATGAACTAAAGTGTGAGCAAGTTTAAATGTACGATGCTAACACAGTCTACTTCGGGAGCACTAGGGATAACAATAACTTATATAGTGTACATCCTACCAGTTATAATGACTTGGCTCACTACTACATATAACTGGTTGCTAGGAAAAGTTAATTGATGTTTAATATTCTGTACATGGGCTCTTATCCAAATACTGATAAAAAAAAAAAAAGGAAAATGTTGAAATATCGTACGGCTGAAGTCAACCATGGTAAGAGTACAGAAGAGGCCACATTTGATGACTGTCAACTGTTTCACCATTATGGAGGGTTTCTTGACCAAAAGACTAGCATTTCTGTAAAACTTTTGGGCTTGTATGACGTTGTTGGATATCTTTCCATTTAAAGATTTCTGTCTCTTTACATGAAAATATTCTTTTGTTGCAGTAGAAAGCTATATAACGTATATTGTACAAAGTAGTTGACTCAATGGGAACGAAAAATTTTCAAAAGAATAAAATATTCTTTACAGAGTAAAATTAAACAAAGTAAAAACATGAAGTAATTTCTTCAATCGAGCTGTTAAGAAGGAGATACCGTTGTACAGGTACATCACAATGCTACTCTGGATGCCATATAATTTTTTTATTTTGCTTGGCAAATTTCTTTTACAAAAGATTTATACCACTTTAATGAGTACAGTACAATACTGTAGACTGGATCAGCATAATGTTATCTCATAAAAATTTGCATTGTTGTATTATTTTATAATTTCATTGGTAATGTCAACCAAACTGTAAAGACAAACTGAACCTTGGCTCCTGGTTCATCTATTATTATTACTTCAGCAAGATCAGCAGGTTTGCAGCTTTTAATCATGGTTTAACCATACTTTACAAAATGGAGGTTAACAAAAATGTCACCTAATTTTTCAACAGAGAAAATTTGTCAAATTGACAGTTTGATGTACTGTATACATTTTCACTAATCTAATGTGACAATTGTAGGAGGAAACATTGGGCTGTAACAGCATATAATACAAAAGAAAGGAGCAACTGTCATACATTCCGGTATTTAAACTATTAACTCATGTACAATATTCCCATAATTTACAGAAAGTATATTAATATTTAGCATAAATAAGATGATCACAATTGGACTGACATAAAAATAACTGTACAACTAAAGAGTATGGCAACAAAATGACTCAAAATAGTTACAATCATTTATATACAGTTGAACTGTGAAGACTTCACCAATCGTCATTGGAAACACATGCATCAGTTGAAAATACTTGAAGCACTTGATCAAACAACCTTTTTTTTTTCCTCCAATGGTGGAATGAAATGATATATGTACTGTTATGATCTGAAAATGAACATGTTGCTTTTTTTTTTTTTTTTTTTCTTTAAGATCAAGTCCTCTGCTTGTTCACCAAAGCATCTATTTCTATGTTCCAAGTTTATTAAACACAGAAAGCCAATGCTATAATTCACAATTCGTGCCACCAGTAAAAACATTTATGCTTTGCTTCAATACTTGTATTATTACACTGTACATTGATTGGCCATAAATATAATTCTATGAAGTATGAAATGGTATCAAGTCTATACATTCTGGACAATGGAAAAATCAGATTTCTAAAAGCATTTAAAAAATGGTAAAAGAAAATCTTGGACTTGACCTCTTGTTATAAAAAATAATAATAATAATAAATAAAAAGTATGAAATTAATTGAATCATATGAAAAACAAAAATAAATATACATTTATTGAAGTCAGTATTTTAAAATGGGGTCCTATACTGAAGGAAGTGCTTAAATCCTGAAGCAGGTTAAGTACGATCTATCTATTGCTACCGTACATGAGGATCTCACAATGGAGGGATAACAGGGACGTGTTCACAGGGTAACACTTGATGGAAGTTTAGGGCGGGGCTGCTTACATGGTTGTGCACTTGGCTATATATGTATTTTTATTTTCCATTAAAAGTTTCTGTTTCAGAATTCATCACATATTTTCCAGACAAGCAGCTTTCAACAGTAACAATAATGTGTACTTACACAAATATGACATTTGCTATACTCCAGTTGGCACACAAATTCATCTGCAATGCACCCTGTGTATGGCAGCCTCAGTACTGGAGACAACTCTCAAAACTCGGTTTCACATTACTTCCTATTACGAGAAGTAGCAGATTTTGAGCGGTCGGAGATTGAGGAGAGACCCTCAGCTCGACTCTTGGACCGTCGCATACTGTTGAGACCCTCGCCTGAGAATACACGATATATTTGATACTGAATGAATTTACATAGAAATTCCATTAAAAATACTAGATATTGGTAGGATGTATTAATGCAAGATTTAATGTCAAAGTGCCATCTGAAAAAAAAAATTAAGGCAAATAATTTTTCACCAGTAAAATAATAAGGTGATCTACAGAACTGTACTAATGTTAAGAATATACAGCTTGGTCTATCTTCAACTGAGTTACATTATCTGGTTACCCAATACGTTATGTTCAGATATATTCAAATCATAACTATAAAAACTGCATGATATTGTTGAACCTAATCAAATGTAAGGAACGTGTAGCAACCTAAAAGATGCCTAATAATACAGCTTACTTTTACTGGTGCTTTTCCGAATACCAACGTCACTGAGCCTTTCTGCTGTAGACCGTGAACGTTTCATATCACTCGGACCACCTTCTCCTGTGCCATTACTTTTTGCAGCTCTCATTGCTCGCCCTCGACGATCCAACAGTAGTTTCTCGGGCTTGACAAACATACCACACTTTGGGCGACATGCGAAGTATCGAGTACCATTCACAGAACCATCATTTTTGCCTGTGGGAAGAAAAAGTATGTGGAAATCACGTTTGTTTTAAAGAAAAACTGCTTTAGTGCACTTATTTTAACTATTTTAATTATACACTACATATAAAAGGATGGGGAAAAATGCACTTTAACATTTACATATATTTTAAGAGTATAAATAATTACTGTATTTTGATGAATATCAGCCACAATTTTTTTTCCCCTAAAAATTTGGCAAAACTGGGGGTGAAGCGTATTATCAAATAAAAATTGTAGTAACGCCTCAAAAATACTCGTAACAATTACTGTAATTCCTTGTGTGCCCTAGCACCACTTCTACCATTATTAACTCACCTTAACTCAGTAATGGTGGTACCATCAGTACCACCATTACTGAGATTTTTGGATGGATGTATGAAGACTGGATATGCACTATGCAGGTAATGTACTGTACCTTAAAGGAATAATATATTGTGTGTGCTCAAGTCTTACCCATAGGTACATCTAATTCAACACCAATCCAGGTTCCTGGTGCAAATTCAGTGTGACCTATGTAAGCAACGACTCCAGAGTAGTTGTAGGGTCTGATCTGGATGCTTTCTCCAACCTCACACCAGTCTGGCAGTGGTGCTAAAGGCTTGGTACTGATGGGAGGTCTTTCAACATCATCTGGTGGAAATAAAAATATAAGGACAATACAATAAATTATTAAATTTGTTGACCTATCTATAATCTTCATTCTTCTCCCATTTTTGTGTGAGGTGACTTAACCTTAAATAAAAACAAAAATAATATAAGACCAGCAGAGAAAACAATATGATGGGTCTAAAATGACACATAGATTTACATTAAACATTCTTGATTATATTCTTAACTTGTCAATACAGTGCAAAATATGCATCCTTAGCCTCCATACTGGTTCACACAGCTTATATAAATTTACTTATGAAAACCATAGCTTTTAAATTTTCTTGGCTAGATGTATCTTTCCAGTAGGTACATCTATAATAAGTGAATTACGGTAACTAGAGAATTGTGAATCTGATATAATCTTACCAACACATTCAGAAGATGATGATCCATTCATTATCTGGGAATCAGTCATTGCTGAGTGAGACTGGGCCAAGGGTAAAGACATGCGATGAGTAGGGTTCCTCTTGTGAGAGCTGCCTCGTCTCATCACAACTTCTGAGCCAACAGTCATAGACAATGAAGAGGTTGATGAGGATGAGGAGAGAGCAGGAGAACTTGGACTTGTTGATTTTGGGGGTGTAGTACTTAGTATTGTTGTTGGACTTGTGTTGATAGAGATTTTATTGCTAGAGTTTCTTGTGCGAGTTTTTGAATTTTCTTTGTTTTCCTCATCTTCAATTATTTTAAGTTCACTCTCTGATTTTGTCTGCTTGGAGTTGATATGAGTAACATTAGTGGTTTCATTGTGGTGAAGATTCTCCAGCTGTTGATTGATTACTGTTCTTGTATCACTAGAGTCACTCTCACCAGAACTGAAATTATAATATATTGTATACAGTATTAAAGTACCAGAAGTATGAGACAAATCATCAGAAGACCACACTCCCTATAGGTGAAGTGGTTGGACGGACAGATGGATGGACCCATCTGATCAGAGCAACCTTGACTTAATGATATCATCCATCCACATTAGAATTCATGCCAAGTAATATCACATTCTCGTCATAATTGGGGGGTGGAGGTCACTTTCCAGCCCTATGGATGGACAGACTCATAAGGGCAGCTATATCTTACAGACCTACACCATCCATCTATATGCACTACATGTACAAAGTGGTGAGAAACTGTCAAAAATAGTGGCTGAGCTGATTTTACAAACATATGACTACAATCGAAGACAAAAGTCGTGTCTCGGTGTTGTCCGAAGGTTAAATATAACTCGTGAAACATTATGAGAACCCCCTACCACAAGGCAGAGCACACCAAAAGTTTAGCCCTTCGGCATATTTTTTCACCAAATTTCACGACACGACTTTTGTCTTTCATCGTACACACATACAAAAAGAGAATATGTCAATTATTAGGGAAACACTAGATTACACATATCATAGATGGATAAAAAAAAATTTTTTTTTACCTTACTAAGTGAAAACACTGCATGTGAATTACTGTATTATAATTATTTTTCATTCTTTCAAGAAATTTCCTAATATGGTGTAAGGTGGCCATAATCACAAGCATCATAGATTCTCTCACCCATTACGAGCATGATGTCCTCCTTCAACAAGACCCCAAAATATACATTTGGTTCTCCTCATACATCACCTTTACATAACATACAACAGCTAAAACATAATATATAAATTTTAACTTGGTTTTAATTCAATACCTGACTGTGGATATATCCATGGTGGCCTGATTTGTTGGAAGGTCTTTATCTGGGGTTTCATCAACACTGACACTCCGCACAGAGAGAGAATCTTCACTCAAAGTTGTTGATGATACTGCACCAGACCCATAGCCACTGAGAGTAAGAAAGAATAGATATTATCTTTTCTAGTCTGGCTCATAGTCACATTGGGTATAGTATATGTTAAAACGTTTATAGGACAGTCAGGTTGACTTATTGGGATGACTCATCCCCTCTGGTCTGGGATGTGTAAAGTTTGGTCGTCAGGTCACGTAGGCACCAAAGGTCACTAAGGTTTTACTGGCATAGATGACCAATAGTGTAATCCAGTACAAAATTTATCCTCATATACACATCAATTAAATTTGCTTAAGTACTGGTTAGTTATATACAGTATAATGGTGGTTATACGCGCTACTTACAAGAAAGCAAAAAATAAATAAAAAAATTAACTTTAGTTAATTTTCAAATGAACTTGACTAGTTAATTTTGAAAGTTAATTGACCCAACCCCGGTAACAAGTATTCAACATTAATTAACACTTGAAGTCCAAACATACTCTTCTCATCAGTGACTAAGGTGGCATTACTTACCTGGACACTGTAGATGGAGTTCCAGCTTTAGTTGCTGCAACTTCATTTAGGGAATCTAATGTTCGACTCTGAGTAAGTTGCAGTCGGCCACCTGCCAGGCTACCACTCCTATATGAGGCAAATTCACTAAACTCCTCCTCCCCATTGGTACTGCCAGGGGCTTCTTTTACACTGCCATTCTGAAATAAATATTTAGTTACCTATCTATTATTTTTACTTTTCTCTAACTTATGTCGGGCGGATCTAAAGTCACACATAGTGTACTTCAAGAAAAGGATAACGGAAATTGGTGTTAGACAAGTGGAGAAAGTGCCACCAACAAATAAGAATGCCCACATTCTAAACTTACTTGGCAAGAAGCAAGGAGAAATGCAGATGGCAGTATCATGTTTTGAAACTTACAGAAGAGAACATATTTTCCTGTGTGGTTGTTGGAAAGTATCTGCATCCAAAACTTGGCAAGAAAGGCATGCAAGGAACAAGTTCTAATGTTTAGCACTGTAGGAGGATGATATTTGTGTGGCATCCTGACAATTGGTGACTGAAAATGTCAAAGGATATCACAGGAAGACATGTAACTACCTCCCTTTAATTAACTTCCTCTTCTCCTCTTCCCTCCTGTTGATTGAACTTACTCTTAACCATTTTATTATAATGTACACAGTTTTCACTCACTTCTCCTTCCTCTTGTTCTTCCTCATCCTCCTCCTCTTCAACCTCCATGTGTAAGAGAGGAGCCGCCTCTCGTGTATTCTCTTCGTGCAGTGTAGTCATTCTTGGCGTCATTTTCATTGGTCCGGGACTTGGAGAGGCTACAGAAACAATAAAGATGGTAAATTTCTTGTATACTATAACCAAATTCAGACTGTGTCCTTTTATTCTCTTTCTAAGCCAAATATCTAATCGTATGAATCATCTTGTCTATGTGTGTCAAGTATTGAATGTTGTTAAAGTGAAACTGATATAATTATCGTATCAGGGGGTAAATATGCAAATGTTTACACGTACCATATACTGCTGGCTCTTAAAATATTAAAAAAATTATAAAAAATGTAAATAAATAGAGGTACACACACATTATTTTGAAAAATTTAAAGTAGAACTTGTTCTGGAAACCCACAACCTAGTGTATGGCTCTTAATAACCCTGGTAGTTGAAGCACTTAAAATAAGAGACATACCTGGTACATTAAATCATAATAGTCCTCCCCTGTCAGTAAAGAAACTCTCCATATAAAAATTTTATAATTAAGTATCACAGAGTAAAATACAGGGCAAGCCATTAAAGTAGTGATATTCCTGTCATGCTATTTACAATCCATGCATTAAAACTAAAAAATAAATGTGTTAACTATAAGATGTTAATAAAAAAGACCAAGAAAGTAAATACTGTCATGCAAAAGTTTAAAAAAATTCTTTATATGTGGCAGTACAACTTATGTTTTACAAGATCATTTTATTATAATATTGTCAATTCGTCACAACATTACAATTTACTTCTTAAGAAACAAAATACCTGTATAATACATCTTGAAACATGCTGAAGAAATAAATAGGTATATTCTATTATACATTTAAAATAACACATTTATCCAGTACGAAGCACTTATACTGTACATGTGAAATAAAATAAATTGCCGATGTTGCATTATTCCTGGTGCACCTGGAAAAACTTCCTCTTGAGATGAAATGATGACAAGATGTTTTGCTCAAGGACAAACATAATTGCTAAAATATGGAAAACCTTCAGATTTAATTAGAAAACAAGTGTAATTTACATGAATTCATGTACAGGCTGCCTTCACAAAGTCCCATCTTTATGTATGTATACGGGGTTGTAAAAACTAAGAATCAGTAATAATGTTGAGTGATCTTCATGTGACATAGTGGCTGACTTAATGCCCACTGATGGTGATAAGGAATATTTAGGCAAACTTTTGATCACAGGATAAGAGGAGAACACTCCAACCATGAGGAACCATTAAGCTGAATGTGGAGCAGTGACCAACAAAATATGTCTACTTTGGAGTATTCATTTCTCACTTTTCACCATCACAAGTCTTTTCCAGCTATACAACTGTGGTCAGAATCAGAAGCAACACAGACTCCCTATACTTACAGTCAGATGTAACCTGTGTTTTGCCATGATCTTTTCCTTCCACAGCAAGGATCTAAATGTCTATATGATTTATCTTTTGCCAACTTTGATTGCAATTGGACTGGCAAACAAGAATCAAGTGAGCGAACCCACTGGTTTTATGCAGACCCTCAATCCATATCTTTCATTCATATAGAGTTTTGTGAAATTTGTTGGGGACTGTCACAGAAACTAATTACAAAATCTGTAGATAGACACACAAAAGGTTATCCAAATGGAACCACGTGTTGATAAGAGAATCACAATCACATGCATAATTTGTAACATCTTTTGTGAAGTTTTACTACAGACTTATTGGATAAGTCCACATAACTTCTGATAACAGAATGACAGATAAAAGGCAAGCAGGTTGACAGGCAGATTCATCAATTTCTACATTCTCTTTCCTTGATGGGGTGACAGGAAATACAGAGGAAAGAAAATTAACAATAAATAATCAACAAATAGGTACAAAATGATAATGGTTCAAATACCTTCTGGTATAATGAAGAACAGAGATATCAGATGTAAAGATGGGACTGTACAAAAGTATGGGAAACAAAATAAAAGATTCATGCAAGATGACTGAGAACCTGAAATCATAGGAACCTGCATAGTGTGTATCCTGTGCAGACCATCACCTCAAAGTAAGTGATGATGCTACATATCTCACAGGAAAAATGCATGCATGCTGATGAAAATATTTATGTATTCCACAAACAAGCAGAAAATTAAAAATGGATATCCCATAAAATCATTATTTGGTTGGGTTGGGTACCACTGAATGAAGCTGTCAAGTCCAGCACAGTTGTCCACAGCAAGTATAAGATGTGACTAAGACCTAGAGACAATCTAGACAGTCAAGATAGGCAAAGCAACTATGATTAGTCCTCTACAACAAATCAATAATATACTAAATATAGATCTACATTGTAATTATACCTGCTAAGATAAAAACAACATTGAAATAATATGAACAATGATACTTTCATAAGTTATATTCATATCACAGCTGCTTTCTTGTGACCAGAAGCTATGCAAGTCCAATGCTAGCATCAAATAGAAATTCTGCCTTTAGAACATCTACTCAGCTCCTGATGACTTTATCATATTACCTGTGATGTCTCACTCCCTTGAGAAGCATCCTTACCCCCTCTTTGTGGTTGACATGACAGGAGATCCTCCAATCTGTCCCATCATTACATACTGTATTTCTTTTGTCCTCTTTATTCTCCTCAACCTTTATAGCTTTAAAAATTGTATTAACAAACGTAAAAGGAAAACTAGGTTGATCTTTGGTATGCATAGGTCCCATCCCTCAAATTTCTATGTCAAATGAATTTCCATATTTCAGTTTAATTTTACATTGAAATGGAACATACAAGTCTTCTTCTGAGCCCATGAATGGATGCTGTGTTTGAAACACTATTTATGTACCAGAGAAATGTACCTTGCAAAGCTGTTTTTCTTTTAGCAGCTACACTTCAAGCTAAGATACTAAAATTGATGCTGTACAGTACAGCTACGGCACACACTACAAATAACACATTAATTCCAATCTACAATAAAGGAAAGAGATTAAAATATAAAGACTATTAAGAGTACCATCTGTTGGTGCCACACTGGGAAGCTTGTTTCCTTCCAGGTGACAATGGTCGAGTTCAAACCTTAAAAAAGTTACCAAACAGCAAAAATATATACACTAAGAGAATTGTCAAGGATAGATAAAAATATGCACTAATCTATTAAGCTAAAAGTGATGCAAATGGCACTAAATAAATCTTAAAACTACAAAAATGTGAAATGAAGTTGTGGAAGCCATATCAAAATCTACGAAGAAAATAAGAAGGGAATGTTGCATTCTGATTCAGTGGTTACAAGACAACACCAAGACATGAACAAGACATACACTTGGCAGGAGTTGATCCCTGAAGTCTGAGAGAGTTGAGATTCAGGTTCAAATTGAGGAACGTAGGTCGAGCTGTAAAACCAACACAGGTTAGTATCCCTTAGTGATGACTGACCATGAGGGTCTCTACTGTTACAATACACAAATTCTAAAAGGCGCTACATTTAATCCACTTTATCAGTTTAAAGTATTGTGTCTAGAGCAGCTTAAAGGTGTAAAAAGGCAGACATGTTAGTAGTCAACCTGAAAATAGATTAAATCTGAAATGGTTACTTGTGAAGTCTTCAGCCACCTCACTATAATATAAGATTAATAAAGTTTCTGGGAAAAATCTCAAGGTTAGACAAACTTCTTCAGTCAGCCCTACAGAGTACAGAAAATGTATCCTTTTAAAAAGCAGAGCCTCACCAGAGCCAACATCTAGCAAAAGGTACTGTATGCAATTCCCAGAAGATGCAAGCCAGTTAAGTTTCCTACAGAGGGTTATTATAAAGTTATGAATGCACTTTGTGTTATTATGAATGATTTTATAAATGCAGGTTTTGGGGTAACACTGGAGCCCTGGACCCTAATTAATTGCTTTAAAGCTTTAACAATATGAACTTAAAATGAACTTTCGATGGTATGGAACAAGAAGATAAAATCATCAATGCACTTTTTTATATTTGTTCTCTTGTGCCTAGTTAACGCTGCTGGTAACGCTATATGTATTACCATAAAGGAATAATTAATGATCTCTTAATGTGCCGACTCGTAGAACATAAATACATCCAATGAGGGAGCGAGTAATGACGGAATTATTCAAAAGTCTTCTCATCTTCATTTCATATCTGAACCAATCGTGTACGGCAAAACCTTCATTTAGCGGACGTCAATGTAACAGGTATAGTCCATTATATGGAGGTTTCATATCTATTGGGCCTCAATATAATACTCTTGATTCCAGCTGCCCTACACTATATCAAGGAAAGTCTAATATTCTTTATGATTCAGGACACAACTTTAAAAAGTCGCCATTAATGTGAAGTCAACTATTAAAGTCCGTTCACCTTTCCCCTTGAACCACAAACCCTGAGATTCAGACTTGTGAACCCGAAGCAGGAGACGGATACATTACTCTGTTTATAAATGCTTCGGATTCATGAGTCTGAATCTCAGGGGGAGAGGTTACCGGACTTTAGCAGTCGACTGTACTAGAAACTGTAGCAGCCAGAAAATATTTAAGAACTTATCACCGGGGCAAGCTTTAGTAACTGGACACTCTTCTTTGGAGTATATATCTTATAAAATAACTCAAACATTACAAAACCAGTTTCCCCGCATTGACTAATTCACGTAAAAGACGACGAATTAGATATACCGTGTAATGTACCGAGATAGACCTAGCAGACAATCAGGTTTTGGGATATGACTTAGCATTTATATAATAATCAATGTGTTTCACCCCCAGATAACTATCAGTCTTAAAGATCAACAAAAGCAAATATACAAACAAACACACAACAGTAAATACTCAACATCATCAACATATCAAAGAAAATCATATTACAAAACTGAAATTCATCACTAATAGAAACCAACTTTGTTATTATGATTATTATACTACTGTTTTTATAATAATGATGCTATTAATATAATATTATAGCTATTTAATTATTGATACCATTGTTATTGTATCAATTATTTAATTAGTATTATAATTATTATTATTACTACCATCATTATTATACCACTTCAGCACCAGAACTCTGAAATCAAATTCATGTAACCTAGAAATTTTACTTTTCATTTTCAAGTCCCAGGAACAGTCAACTTAAGTAAATGATGATATCATCATTTTAGATAATATATATTATATAATTATTATCTAAAATTAATGAATTTCTTAAAAGTTGATTAATTTTTTACCTTCATCATCAATATGCCTATTAAGAGCCAATCATTAAATCAGGCCAATTACTTATTAGTTACTAACTTTCACAAATGTCTAGCTCACACTCAACAGTCAATTTATTGTACAGTACAAGACACTTACATCAAGGCTCTACATCATAAAACTGCAGTTACATGAAAGATTTAAGAGAGCACCCAGTCTCATATACAACAAAAATTGTTAGACATTAATCATAGGCATCAGAACCATGAGGGTACTGGGAGGATGTCCCCACCCACCCACCGGCCCCCAACATTTAGAAAGTGCAATATTGTCGAGTCAGTGCCCTCTGTCCCCCCCCCTTAAAGAGGTAAACACCATAAGAAGTGTGCCCCACAGTTACAAATGTGTTCCTACGCCTATGTAAACATTATTGCCAACCAATATCTCTACCACCACAGGTACAGTATGCATATTTTTACTAAATGTTAAGATAATCTTGTTCTACATAATTATACAAAATTAGCCACCATATCAGTACAATGTCAACTCTGTAATCACATCATGTTGGTTAATAGCTTGGTTCACCCAGCTCATTACTGCAAGGGGTTGACTATTTAGGATCATGAATTTGGATGAAGGTCCTCTTGCCATCAATAAATAGGCAACTGCTAACTAAACTTTCTCCAGTTATTTCCAATTCTTTCAGCTGAGGTAGCTGCAGCTTCAGCACTGATCCTGTCACCGAGGTAACAGTGACACATACAGCACACTTTAAAGTCAACAATATCCAGTTGTCAGTCATTTACACCGCTGCATCTCTTGTGTACCCACCTTTCATAATCACAACACATTGCAGAGTTCGTGCAACATCTTTCTTACAAGTAGCACATCACCTTTTACAACTTTCCAATACAGGTTCTTCATCCATACCGCTAATTATTATTTTGTTATAATGTACTGTAAGTTACTTGGAAGTGGAAAGGATTAGAGACAGACAGAGAAATATGTAAATAAGAGTTTCTGTTGATCCAGAGTTCTCTAGACCATTCAGTGTGTCAGTCCAGTGAAGCAATGCACTCTAATACTTTGGTTGCTGCACATCATCTATACCAACAATGAACCTAATTCTTCTTTTATCATATCTATACAGTGATTTATGCCCGTTACAGATGCCACACACAAATAATGTTATAAATACTGTATATCCAAATTCATGACTTAAAACTGGCATGAAGCTAGAGCAATGCATTATTTTATTCCCATTTACATACAATTATCTATTTCTACATTAAACTGAACCTTGTCAGTAGAGATATTGGCACCACATAGAGGGAGGCACAGGGTCAGGGGAACAGGTAACATACTCTGTGGTTTAACATCTAGGAGGGGAAGAAATGTTTACATAGCTCATGAAACATCTAGTTAGCAATTAACTCTTACAAATACATGTTATCTTCATAGAGACCCACAGCCTCACAGAATATTGTCAGTGAAATTACTAGTGATATATACTGTACTTCCATTTTGTGAAGATGTTTTGGCATTCCTTAATTATTTTTCTGTTTATGGAGTTTGTGTCTGTATGAAGTAACATTTTTTTTAGGTTAAATCACTGAAAGTTGAACAAATAAAAAAATGGGTTTTAGTTTAATGAACATAATCTATGTTTTAATTCTTCTACTTCTAAGTTATCAGGTTTAACAGCTTTTCTTGACTGTACTTTTGCATCTTTGTAGAGACTGTAACAAAAAAAATCATTCTTGTGTATCTTGTTCTGCTTAAAATAATATTTATAATAAAGTTACTAAAATAAAATTACTAAGAAATGACTGATCTCAAAACTCTCCCACATAATAACTTATATTTGTCCAGATTAGTTTCTCATCACAAGGTTGCTGAGATTTTTTTTTCTTCATCTTAATAGTAAAGTGTCAAGTCACATATGACTGGTGGCCACAGCTCAGTACACTACACAGCTCACCACAATTATATCCCAATAATGCTGCCGCTCAGCCACAGAAGAGAATGTGCGTTTCTTGGGTTGGAGGTCCTGAGTGTTACTAACTCAACCATGGAGACCTTCAATAGTAATTACTGTAGTATGAATAAGAAAACAATAAAAATAATATCAAAGCAAAAATTTTAGGCAGACATCTTCAAGGGACTGGGTGCTAAAAGTCCGAGTAAAATTGGCAACTTTTCAAATTTGAGTTATAGATTGTCATTTCTCATCAGTAGCATATTTAGAGGCACAGTGCTAGATATTACACCATGACTATAAATAAATAAACTATGCAGCTAAGTACAGTACAATTCCGTCCATATATACACTCTGGTGAATGACTTATACTGTACTGATGAAATATATGAATCGGTGCAACAAAAATTTTTTCCTTTACTATCTCGGTCTGTAATGGAGACGTGATGCAAGAATCGGTATATGCAAGTGTCCAACTTTCCATGATTACCCCTAAATACAAGGTTTGCAGCAGTCAGCAACTGGAGCAGTGGAACATCTGTGTAAACAAGCTGGTGGGTGCAGAGGAGAGAGCTTGTGAGATCAAAACTTGTAAGGCCATACCATGTTTGAGCCCTTGAGAGCACCGAGTGTAGAAAAAAAAAAAATATATACTTTTAATATATTACCTTTTGCTGCTTGATTTCCTCTCAATATCAGGAGGGCATTTGAAGATGTTATGAATTTTTCTGCATTATAAATATTAATCATATTCTCTGACAAAGAAGGAAAATAATTACTAAGTTACTAGAAACCAAATAAACCAAAAGCAAAAGCCATCACAAGCAAATGTTTGCCCCAATACACACTATCCCACTAATGAAATCAGCAACACTTTATACATCACCCAAAATATGAGGCTGAGTCAGCCATCAGTACACCAGCAAGACAGTAAGTACTCACACAGGCCAAAGGGTCTTTCACTGGGACCTGGAAGAGAATAGCGGTGTTTGGATTTCTCCGAGTGGTGGTTGTTCTGCGTGGGCGTGGAGGAGAGTTGAGCGTTGAGATCCATCACACTTCCGGACCGTGTGACACCGTCGAGCCCACCTTCCATGCTCCCAAACAGCTGTAAAGTTGAACGACAAGTCACAATCTTACTTAGGAAAGAGTCTTACAACACAAAGATATTTCCCTTGTGTCCAGTCCTGCCCTGCAAATATGATTAATGACAACAATTACAAAACTAAGTATAAGTCACATAAGACAGAACACTATTAAGCTCTTTCATTTTAATAAAAATTCCACTGCTTTTTTTTTTTGGGGTAGAATATTTTTATAGTTTGAACTGGCTGCTTCCTTCAGGTTATCTGGTTTATCTTAAAGGACAGTAGGAAAATCAGTAAGTGATCTGACAAATATTTTCAGTCTCTTAATTATTCATGACACACTGCTAAAGCTGCCAAAAGCCTTGAAGAATGGCCAAGATTTTACTTACTGCAGTTTTGCAAGGCTTCAATTTTCCAAATGCGTCTCTTGTTCCAAGGGGACATTTACCTTATGATACCTGGTTAAGCATATTCTTTTCTTCTTTATCAGAGATGCATTATTAAGGCAGCACCAAGCATTAACTCAACAATCATTACCATAAGCAGAGCTAATAATAAACAACACTGATAATTATCCCCAAGTGTATCTGATAGTCTTATTCAGCCCCTGGGGATGGCAAGAAGTTAATGAGCAGATCATGCCAGAAGCATATAGGCTCAAGCAAACAATATTGTTGTCCCAAGGAGGGAAGATAACACTTTCAATGTCAAAATATTTGATACTTAATCTGTCTGTTCAGGCAAATTCAATAAAACAATCTACATACTGTACAATCTATCATGCAAGAAGCCGTTTAAACTGCTAAGTTATCACATGCAAGTGCAAGCTTCAATAATATCAAACAGTATAAGCCTACCCTATGTTACATTATATGTTCAATACTCATAAAATATTTAACATTATCAAAACTCATTGTATTACTCTAGTCATTATCTATACACTGACTAGATTATTCATCTAATTATTCTTCAATTACAAATATCAACATTTGTCAATTACACAAAATTGCTTTACAACAGTCACTACTTCTTTGTACTAGAGCTATACACACATTAAATTAATAATATATATACTGAGTGTATACTGTACAGTATGCTATATATATATATATATATATATATATATATATATATATATATATATATATATATATATATATATATATATATATATATATATATATATATATATATATATATATATATATATATATATAAATATATATATATATACAGTACAGTACTGTATACTGTGTACAAAGTACGTGTATATATATGCATAGTATATATAAGTATGCATAAAATATATATGACTGTATGTATACATACATACATACATACATATATACAAATACAAACATATACTTAAACAAAAATATACATTTGTGCTTATTTAGTACATACTGTACTTATAAAAAATCTATTTACTAAATGTGGCTCTCTATTAAGTGAAAAAAAAGAAGATAAATAACTGTTGACAACAGATGCTGTCATAAACTAATTCCCAAAATATTTTCTGCATAATACTTGAGCTACGTATATTTGAGCAACAAGAGAACATGACTTGATTAAAGAATAATAATAATAATACAGTAACTTTTACACTACAAATACTATATCTGTTACAGTTACTCTTCTCCCAGAGTTGTGCGCTGGATCAAGGGTTACACACACGCACCTCATGGGGGTTGGGAAGGGTGAATAATGGGGGCAAAAGGTGCACTTAGTGAGAACACATATCATTTTACAGCCATTTTCCACAAATTATTTAAGTTATGCACTCAACAACGAGCATAGGAAAAGTTAACTTCTCATTTTTACTGCATTTATTCGGCACGGTACCCGCCTTCACCGACCAGACTAATAATAAGTCTTTTGGATGAGTGACCTCCTTTCAGCTTCATGCAGCCATTGATCAACCTCGGTCACCCTTGTTTCCCCCCATCATGGAAACTGTTATGTGTCCTGTATGTTCATTAATGCATGTACAGTACTAATGCACATTCAAATACCCCGGTGTACTCATCCACATCTCAGTACATTGGCCAAACACTTAACCCTGTACATTTATCCCAGCATTCTGTTTAGTCATGTCTCTATCCCCAACAAGTTCCCCTAAGCTTAATATTATTTCCACTAAAGCTTCTCCTGTGTACTGTGTATCAAAGTAGCTTCGTAGTATCAAGAAACTGCATCTCTTCCCCACAACATACAAAAGACTGGTGGTACGCTGCCACATTTTGAGACAGAAGATGCCCGACTCCCCCGGTCTGACACGGACACAAATGCGATTCATTCATCACTACACAAATTTTGTTATTCGTTTTTCCTAACCTATTTAACTTCCTTTGTAATGTCCTTTTTGCTTGTATCTCCAGCCCAATTTGACACCTAACTCCCAAAAGGAAATTCCAGAAAGCTCAAGAAACTGGGTTGAAGAAGCACTACACTTGCAAAACACAATAATCATAGTACTGTAGTAAGTTTACATGACCTTAACATTATCAAAGTATAATAACACTAGCAGACCAAACCAGAATATCTCCGACACATATTTATGGAAAAAAAAAAAAATTTAAAATCATTCCTACCCATTATCAACGTTAAACACACTCCTGAGTAGTTCTGTGTCATAAACCTTATACTTTTTATTGACAATGATTACAGTAATTATTTTCTTTGTCCTCAGCAAAAAATGATCGTCCGCTGTTAGATAATTACACGGTCATAACATTGCAGGAATTATTATGTACTTGGATGTCAAACAAATTACAGCTCATAATATTTTTCTTAAGAGAGTGAAAATTAAGTATCCATAAAATCCTCAAAGATATTGTTAGTAGCGCATTACAATCTGAAAGTTTATTTCCATTCTGATGATGTTGGATGAGAAAAATTCAATATTCGTAAAAGTGATTCAAAACTCCACAAAAAAATTGCAAAAACTTCTAATAATATACCTGTACTGTACCAGACTTGGCAAGAGAAATTATTTTAACAAAAAACCTGAAAACTGTGAGATGCCTTACCATGGATTATACACAGACTAATCAAGCTGTGTTAAAATAATCAAATCAAAATCTAATTACAAAAAGAAAAAAAACATTGTATATTATGACTGAGACGTTGAAATAAAACTCAATATAATAAAACTCTGGGAGCAGGAACAGACTGAAGGGTATATATATATACAGTGTAGTATTTACTGTATAGGTCTAACTTTCAACTCAAAACAGTATGTAATATAATTCAGTAAATCCCTGCATCTGTTATAATTATATACTATTGTTTATTAATGAGAAAATAATGAACCAAACTCTTGTGTAACTTACAATACAGTACATACAAGTATTTACACAGTTTCTGAATCCGAGTCGAACTTTGTATTGTATGTGCATCCTCTTTATCCATGTTATTATACTGTATCTATTCTGCTCTATGTCCACATCAGTTCAAAACAAACTTAAATAACAGATATTCTATTAGCACATCTACCTCAAACACCACCATACCTGCTCATACGATAAGTTAGTGATACGCCTAGTCTGGAGTATAGACAATACACCCAAGTCAAACAAGCAGATAGAAATTTGTAGGGAGTGATGTCCTTACTTCCAAAAACCCTTTAAAATTTTACACTTTGTTTTCGTTTTCACAAACTTTTCCCCCCAAAGACCCAGGCTGAGATGAATCAAGAACACACACAAACACACTCACTCACTCACTCCCTTCATTTACTCTCTCAAACTTCACTTGTTGCCTGTATTTGTTTCATATTTTTTTTTCTGCATTAGAAAACTTGAAACACTGTAGTACTTCAAATCTTACATCTGGTTAATTATGAAACACTGGCATTAATAAGAAGTCATATTTATATACACTTCCATAAGATGTACGGTACAGTATTATATTTTTCATTTCATTCTAAAAGTGAGTTGATATATCCCTCTCTCTCTCTCTCGAAGTAAACTAAAATAAATGGAAGAGTACATTAATAATATGATAAAACTTTATAAGTAACATGAAACTTTTCAACCCATAATTCTTTAAACAAGTATTATTCTCTTGTCACCCAAACGGGCCTGCACGTCCCACGAGGAAGACTCTGGGATCTGTACGTACAGTATATGGTGGGCGGGACTGTGTCGTGATACAGGGGTTTGGTGCACGATTGTCATCCAGTGTGTTTTAAATTGTAACTCTTAAAGGTGCAGCATATGGGCTGTTTAAATTATTACTGTATATCCATGACATGGTAGAGTTAAAGCCCTTAACCTTAGCTTTCCTAAGTACATGTATTACTTAGGTGAATGCTAGTACAGTAAAAGGGTCTATGCCTGTACAGTATGTTCATATAAATCTTATCTGTTACAGGTATATATCTTTAGAAGTGCACCTTGCACATATTAACTTGTTCTCATAAACATCAACATTAAAAAATTAAAATAACTCTAGTCATTAACCATAATAGAATCATTTTTGATGGAGGTTACTTTACATTTTGGTGTGGGTAATGAGGAAACACACTACATGAAAATCACATCTTGGCAGCATCTTGTCTGATGAAAGGTAATGGTAGTACTTGTGGGGGAAGGGTATGACTACACTAAGGAACATTGCAGGAACCTCCACCTCGTAGTAATAATATTATCCGTTAAGTTTACACGTAACGTGAAATTACGCAAGATACAAGTCCAGTCCCTCAAGCTCTCAAAAAAATTCATCCAGTAGTAGTAATTGACGGCAAAAACAAAGAGAATTGATCTAAAGCTGCGAAACATGACTCCTAAAATGAAATAAAAAGAAAAAAGGTGTAGGTTTCTCCAATGGCTGGGATGCAAGTTAAAACTGGCTTTCTCACGCTACCTCTAGGTTAGTCCTCAATCGTTTCTGGAGCTGCAAGATTAAACCCTACTCTCGTCATTGTGTTGACTTGGGGTTAGTTGACTTATAATTACAACACTACTATGAAACACTATATTATGATATCCTACGCAATACATAAGGTCTACGAGTCTATAATCCTCGTTTAATTGTTAGTAGTAGTTTAGACTTGATGAAGAAGCCACACACTTGAGTAGGTCTATAAACTACAATGGAAAATTATTAATAAATACAAAAAAGGTGATGAAGAAACTGATCATAACTACAGCATGGAAAGTTGCACACAGCCATGCTTCTAGATCACTTTGTGGCCTTCGTGAAATCTTGGCTAAATATGAAGAATTAGTAGAAATTTTAAGGAAATATAATATAATGGCAAACCTAACCCTGCATTTACACAACACAAACCTAACAAGTCTCACAAGTAGTAATTTAAGGAGATTTTTTTTTCATATTTAAAAAATGAAAGAAAAGTAGAAAAGTACTGTGCTATATTTAGAATTGTTTAAAACTTACTATGAATTCAATGATTTTTAAATATTTTCCTTTGAAGATCAGAAAATATGCCTTAAAAGTTCATATTTACAAACCATATATACAGTCAATATATAAAATAGATATAGGTGAATGAGTGGTGAATAAAGAATCTAACACGTAGATCTGGACAGGGTGCAATCAAGGGTTAAACTAAATCATGGTTGCAACACTCCTGCAAAGGGAAATATTTACAAAGCTTCAAAAACAAACTTTATAAACTATGTGCGCATATGGGAAGGAATCATTAGACTGGCTATGCTGCATTATCAATGACAGACAGTTAGAAAAACGACACAAAATAAAAATAAAAGGCACTGAGCAATTTGAACAAAAAAAAAAGTGTTATTATATAATATGTGCAATAAAATAATGTTCATAAAATTTGCGCCAAGTCAGGGGCTGGCAAAAATGTAGCACTTTTGAATAATGGAAATGGACCTACTCCCTCATCCTGCGATCCACGGAGTGCCGGCGCAGGCTTAGATAATCCTGTCTCTCTATCACAACCAACTTCCTGAAATATTGCCACTTTCTTCACTCCAGCCCGGGGGTGAGTGGGGGTGATTGGGAAAAAATATTTTAAGTGAAAATAAGCTCATAGAGTAAAAAAGATTGGGAAAAAAATGAGTGCCCCATTTAAAAGCCTCCAAGCACAAACTAAGGGAGTGTCTCAACCAAACAGCCTCTGATCAGAAACCCTATGCATGCTTCCCAACATAATCTACCTCAGAAGACATGATATATATTCCTCAATTCATAAGGTCAGAATTTCTTTTTCACTTGTAACACCATGATGGACTGGATAAGGCACACAAGACAGTGTACTTTGTCAAGGTCAATAAGCAAGATAATTCAAGGTAAGTGATGTATAAAATTTCTCGCTGAACATGGCTACTGTGGTGCCAACCCCTGGCTGCAATTTCAACAGACTAGTGCTGGACTGAGCAGAGCATTTTCCTGTCCATCTACTGTGCCAAGCATCTACACATGTACAAGAAGAAAAGTGTTAATATACTGTACAGTGTTAACCTTGCCACCAGGCCTTAAAAAAAAAAATAATTGCATCCTGGTGTCCAAAATGATTAAAGGTCAAACTTCTTGCAAAAATAAAAAATAAAAAATCATGCCAAAAGCCTCCTTTTATTCTCTATTTTTTTACTTCTCTTTTCTCCCTCCTTTTGTATTTCCTATTTCTTCCATTTTCTCCTCTAGTCTTATCTTCTTGTTCTGGCAATGTATCCAGATCTGATTACTTTCTAAGTGTCCCAGATACCAAGATACAGTACCTCACATTATCACGCCCTGTTTCCAGCGACTGTGACACTCATTAACACACTTAGTATCCTTGTTTACATAATGCTAAGTATCCAGGCAGCAATGATGTTTTCTTTCTAATCTTGTGAATAATATTACAATACAAAGTATTATAGTTTCACGTGAAAAAATTTACATCCTAAAATAAAACAAACCACAAGGCGGTTCCTCCTTAAAGAGAAAATCTAAATGCTATCGCACAGTATATATAATAATCATTAGCTGCATCAATCCACTCATAAATGAAACCCTCACCCATTCTTATGCCCACTATCCCAGTTCCACATCTCCAAAATTTAGTGTTTTGCTATTTTGTGCCATCACGTTCAAGTTCTCCTTGACTGATGGATAATCTGTTCTCTTTATACAGTGTTCCCTGTGTCCTCTCCATCCACAGCCAGAGTAAATATGTCTTCTACTACAGTTTTCAGATCTCTCCTATTCAATATCTTTTCCATTCTCGTGGGATAGCCTTAATATGCATATCTCCAAGCTTCTCTGAATATTACTGTGTGGAATAGTTATAATTTTTCTATTCAGTTAGCTCTCTGGGCTATATACAGCCCTCATGGTATTAACAACTCCTAATCTGTTTATCCAAGATCCTTTCTAAAGCTATAAATGTATGAGCCTGTTCAATCCTTTGTTTTGGTCAAGTTCATTTATTCAAATGCACTGCTTGCTCTATTCCCCTCTTCTATTCACATTAACATCTATAGATTGGTTTGTGTTACTGCAAATATTTTATCTTCCATGGAAAAATGAAGGTGGTTTGAAGGGCAGCATTAATATCAAACTTTTTTTATCTCAATGGGTGACTTTAATACATCTTCCTATACAGTATTGCTATAAATATCTTCGGACAAATGAAGTCTTCCACTATGAATTTCCAACTTCTTTACTTCCTGAGTGTCCAACAGCATCCATAACTGACTTTACAAAACAAAATCAAAACATGTTGGCAACACCAAAAAAGGGAGCATACTGTACTGTAGTATGAATAACAATGTTGAATTGCTGTGAATATAACAATTCATCATACTATCCCAGCTGCTATGAGGTGCTATGCAAGACAGCATAAACTAATGCCTGAATCAATAAATTACTCTCACTATTATGACTGTATGTGGCACAGTTTTAGAAAATGATATCTATTAATCAATAAAAGTCACACAACTGTGTATCAAACACAAGGCATTCTTGCCAACACTATAGAGTATTGTATTAGTGTTCTTCAATAGCTCCGGAGGCTGGCATTTTCAGCTTAAGATAAATTCTAAAGAGTGACTAAATTTCCTTCAAAGAAATCATACAATAGTATTTCCTTAAAAACGAAAACAAAAGAATCTTCAAGCAGGCAGAGACATGCCTCCTACACTCTCCCCCTTCAACTCTTCTGTGTCTTTAGCATGAGGTGTTGCCACAGGCTAAATTAATTATTAATGCCTAAGAGTATTACCTTTTTATACAGCAAGTCATTAGGTGCCATTCTGAGCACCTGTGTGTCACCTGGAACTATAACTACCAACTGTGCTGCACCATTAGAGGTCTCCAAGACATGGTGTCATTTGGAGTACTGTTCTTGTGAGACATTAGGTATCACCATAAAGTCTGACAGGGACCTAGTGTCCTTATCACCACCTGGGTGACTCCTTGTTTCATGAGGGGGATCTTTGGGATATATTAGGTTATTGTGAACACTTGTGAGAGTAGATGAAACAACACGTGGACTTTGTATTCATGATGTCAATTGCATACAGCTGTCATCCCTCATGAAAGCATGTGGGATGACTGGATGTTGAGACAGATCCGAATGCCTCAAGCAGCAGAACAGATCACAAAATGTTGAAGATTACAATAACAGCTAAGAAAATTGAAAAGATCCCAAATTTATGGGTCATCTTACTTTACTAAAGTACAACAGAAGCCATACTCTGGTGGAAATTGTCAAAGTAAAATTCCTTGACCACATACACGCCCCCACTTGTTGGTGGTAATATCTACCAAAAGGATTGGTGTACAGGAAGAGAATCCAATTCTCCAGTACAATTCAATTTTATTATGCAAATCGACAATTGCAATGACTAAAGTAGATGGCACCAATTCCACAGTAAATGACAATAACACTGGTTGCCAATATAACATAATAATCTTGCTCAGGTGGTCTAAATATATATATAAACACTGAGGTGAAGAGTTGTAAGACTGTCCCAGTGTTTTACTGATTGGAGATGAATAAGTAGCTTGGCACTGGTGACCAAATTGTATGTCTGGGGGAGCGTTTGCACACTCTACCTAAAAGTGGGAGAACTTTTATAAGTTCAAGACCTTAATATGAAAACAACGTACAGTACCATCTTCAGGAGTACTGTATTTACAAGAGAAACCATCTGCAATATACATGGAGTCCCATGCTTATGTCTCCCCATTTATTGCTAATTCGTTATAAAGTCTCAAATGAACTAGGGAAGGTGTCTGCTGAGTTTCACTATGTTTTGCTGAGGTGCTGCTGACTGTCATCTGCTACTGTGTAACTACATTGTGCTGTGGAGGCTGTGAGCAGTGCAGAGGACCCAAGATGTGTTCCTACATCAGTTAGCATAGTTGCAGCATTGTGTACAGTTGTACTTTTCAGAAACATGCAAGATTTTGTACTTTTTGGTCAATCTACCCCAAAATCGTGCCTCCGCAAGGCCCAGCAAATAACAGTACATCGCCTAGCCCAAAGAAAACCAGAAAAACAAAAGCCTTGGACACAGGATTTTATGGCAGACTGAAGCTGGTGAATGAGTTGTTTACATCAGTGTTGCTCTAAGTCTGCCTCCCACACCTCTCACTAAATTACCCATTGCCACACCTCACACAATACTTTCAGACATTCTTATATTTATTACATACTCATTATTTTGATGTCAAAAGGTGGTAAACTGGGTGTTGACAGTGATAGTGACTAACTTTTACTGGGAGATGGCAGCACTCGGAGGAATTACTCACACCTCTTAACTGTATGTTTTTATATACTGTATACTGGTACTAGTATCTATATGGTCCAGTTTTTTTAGTAATTTTATATTGTTTCTTTGATGATTTATAAGTGTTATAAAAGAAGCCCAAGTACCCCTAAGGTTTATCTTAATTTTCCCACCCCAGGAACTTAACCCCTCCCCTCCCTTATTTATAGTCGTACTTATAGGAAAACTGATCCATTTAGAGTAGTTCCATTTAAAGTCACAATTTTCAGGAACGCAGGTACGACATTAAGCAGGGACTCTCTGTAATATATATGTCCCTTCCAATTTTTAACATGCCTGGTAACTACTGTAAGACCCGATCCATCCAATACATCGATGAGCTACCGTATACACTACACGCCTGACACCTGCCCCCGAGAGGTAGGCAACATGATGGTCCCCATCAAACATAACTCCCATGGACCACTTTCACCTTTTTTTGTTTCAACAATTTTGCATTAAGATATGTTGACAAATTTTGCAAGATGCTTTGGCTGTCAAACAAGTAAAGTATTTGCCACTTGCTTGCATTCGTAAGAGCCCAGAACAATTGGAAAGAATGAGGGTTACCTCGGCAAGCATACACATTGGGTAATGTAGAAGGGAATAAGCAAAGGAAGACCAATAGGCATAATAAAGAGAAAGACATTCACTAAAAAGAGAATAAAATTCTCTAAAACACTGGCAGTCCAAGAAACATGTGAAGCAGAAGGAAAACAGCTACAGAGTTCACCCTGACGTAACCTGTTGCTTATTTCTATAATAAAATGTTAAACCGTGAATCTGTGAATTAAAAAAGTAAGCTGTTCATACTTATAACTCAAATATAAGGATTAAAGTCACTTAAAACTCATAAAAAATAATCACCCCAAAACAATAAGTCACATTAAATACCACAGAAGCCCACATAAAATAAATAAATAAATAAAGGAGGTAAACAGTAAGGAAAGGCAAATTTATTTCCATATCAAGAGGGTAGAAAGCCACACCTCTCACTCCTTATACTGTATTATAAATGGACCCAAGTGCAATAAGTGAACCAATTATTTATCTTACAATGCACTGAAAAAAAATCTTTTCTATCTTACCTTCTGAATATTTTGCCTTGGATAAATGAACCAAACATTGCCTTACTGATATGATTAATATTTTGCAATAAATCTACGTTTAAAAGAAATAACGACACCGGCACAGGAGTAACTTATCTCCAGTCGTATAACCAAAATTATAAATAGGAAATTGCTTCTCTCTTGAACTGGTTTAGTCTACATTACCAACACAATGATTCAAAAGAGGAGTCGCAGCACAGGGGTATGTAATGTATATTTGCCTCAGAACAATTCCCATTTTGTTTCTATTACAGCCCATAAGAAGGAGTGAAATATGTGAAGAGCTTTAGTTAACATTTGTAGGAAGATACAAAAATAAATAAATAAAGTGCTCTCCCTCCAAACTTATCCAAAAAAGGACTGGATGAATAAAACAAAATAACAACACTGAAGGGAGGGAGAAGAGGGGAGAGGAAGGGAGGGGAGAAGGCGGGAGTCTTCACAAGTACACACATGTGGTAAATACCTAAACAAACTCTCAGCACAAATAGAGAGATGAACTTAAGATCAATCATCCACCAGGGTAACTGAGTCTTCCCAAATAAGGTTTAAATTATGTTAAGATTAGTGCAGCTACAATACAAACAAGAGTACAATTTTGTTACATTATACTGTACCTCTCTGTTTAGTTCATTAATTCTAAATATGGACCAGATGCTGACATGCTAAGTTTTGATCATGGCTTCTGACATACAAACTCAGCTAGGTAGTGTGTATTTTATCAACTGGTGATACACAGACAAAGAAAAGTTAACCAAAATTTCTACATTGATACAAAAGTTATGGTCAACACTCGGGTTTAGTTTTTGATCGTCAATTGCGACTGAACTTTTAACACGGACTTGAATCTGGTATGCTGCACTTCACCGTCTGATGATCAATATAATAAGCCGATTCCATCAAAACATAACTGTATTAATACAAGTTATGCTCTAGAGAGGGTTTTGACATTTGACCTGCTATGACCTTGACCCGTAACAAAGTCTTCTAATTGGTGGTGGAGTATTAAATCTTTTGGTGTACAATTGGTGCCTTAACTACCTTCCCATAATATTATTTAACCACTTTAATTATGAACTGATAAACTATATAAAAGGGTGACAACTCTGGAATTACTGTAAACATAACTTCCCACTTGGTGAAGTGAGAATAAAAGGTGATGGAACTCTGTTGAAGTGTACTCACTCTATTTAAATAATCCTTATAAAAGTAACACTATTGGTACTGTCAACCAGACCATCTTCCTGACTAATCAAAAACCTCAGCTCTATAGAAATGAGCCATTTGATACACTATCCTATTTCTTTGTCTATAATCACTGCTCAAGATAACAAGAATGTTCATACTGTGCGGCCAACTAAAACTGCAACGGTTAAGGTAATGAATATTATCGTATGCAAGACACAGCCCTTCCAATGGAGCAGCGATGGCAACTACCGAACAAATTATAATGACCTTTTACGGTGTGATGCTCTTCCTTCCAGTAATGCACAATGTTGTTGAATTTGAAAGCCATATAACAGTACTGTGTAACCAAAAACAGAAAAAGCTTTTGCAGGGGGCGCACTCTACCCATTTGCCAGTTCACCAGAGGCCCGATGCTCTATCTGGTAACTAAATTATGGTAAAAAGATGGAATATGAATGCTAAGTACCATAAGTCACTCACATACATAAACCAGTACAAAATTATTCCTACAATCAAAACATTAAACTGGAAAAAGCGAATTGACGACTTGCAAGTACGGTAAATTTTCCTTCTGGCTAACGAACTGGCGAATGAATCAAGAAGAGTAGACCTGGCTTTGTGTTGCCAAGGTAATGTCACTTGAACAAGAGAATGAAGGAGTGACACAACAGGCTGACAAACTCATAGGAAAAATTTGGCCTACAACAGTCAGTCTAATAAAAATCAAATTAATCAATTTTGAAGGCTAGTTAGAGAACATATATAATCAAAACATACAGCATAATAAAATATGTTAGTAAGTCTGATAAAAAGTAGACCTTAATTAAGAATACTCTTTTTCTTCTTCAAAACTTTCTATTAATTAATTAAAGATTTCAAATACATGTCAAAATATTTTAATGTTTGTGCTTCATGTGTGTCATAAGAGTAACTAACTGTTCATCCACCAATGTTCAAAAGTTCATCAGTGAAAGGCTACTACTGTTCAGCTGTATACATTGCATCAACACATACAAGGAAATTAACTTTTACTTCAGCTTGGTGACTTTACAAACAGACTGCATTAATGTGTTATTTTAGCCTCTTTATTATTTAGTTTCTAGGTTAAAATAATACAGCAACCTTATTAAGTGTACAAGTCCAACTACTACCTCCCATCACAACACTCGCTGTACTCACGTAGGAAAAGTTTGGGACGGATGCAGTCTTCCTCATGAGCGGACGGCCAGCAGACTGGAGCAACTCCTTGACGGCAACATTCTGCCGTAACCTGTCCAACATTAAGATGGACTCCAGTGATGTCACGCCCTTTGTATATTTTTCTGTCAAAGAAAACATGTGGCTAAAGTGGTCGTATGTAACAGCATCATGCAATATAATATTAATATGGTAGAATTAAGTGGTACTGTAGTGCCTTCAGGGTTGTCTTATCACATCTTCAGCTACAATGGCTACATCGTGCCTTTTTCACACAAGTTCCATACCAGTGACTCGTTCTGAAATGTATTTGTGATCTATGGATATAATGTTACAGGAAATATGTCAGTAGCATATGTTTTGTGGTGCCTGATTCATGAAGTACTGTGCACTTATGATGTTGAAATGCCACATAAACCTCCCACATCACAACAGATTCTTAACACCAACTGATGAAGGAACTCTTAATGGATTCATGAAATTCCCTCAAACCATCACCCCAAATTTTTCACACAGAGGGGATAGATGCCCCCAACAGCCATAAATTTTTATAACTATTCTCATTAACAATGTGAAAGACAAGGTCTGCACCAATAACAAGTACGGGGAATGCAATTGCATAACTCAAGTTACATTTGACACATGCGTTTTCCTTCGTTATTTTCAGTAAGAGGCTGGAAAGGAACTGTGCTATTAGAACACTTACCGATATATGTCTCTCCATCTTCAGCGTGAGAATCATCGGCATTAGCAGCCATCTGAGCGAGAGACTCTCTTTCCTCTAATTCTTCACTTGCCTGAAAGATAATGACGGTCAGTGGAGAAGAGGATAAAAGTAAAAAAAAGTAAAAAAAGGCCAATAACACAAGTGTTGGTCATGTTGTAAACTGCAGCAGTGTCTACAGGGAAACTGTTGTTGGGAAAGTGAGGAAAGTAACGATAATATACACTGATATTACTACTACTGTAATCAATTCTTTGGGGCCCGAGTCCAGAAATTCCAACAACATAAAGGAAAATCCACACCAACATAGATCAACACTGACATCACAGGAAATGAGGAAAATACAAAACAGAACAACATTGACTAACCTTTGGAATGTTTGATACAACTTCATACATGATTCCTGTTTCATAGAGGGTATTAGCCGAGCCAATAAAAGACTTGACAAGCTTGCTGGTTAAGGATTGCTTCTTATAAATATTAACAGCAAGTCGCTTCCTTAATACCAGATCCATGGGTGCTGGGTGGGAGAGTCTCAACACACTTTTCACGATCAGGTAGACTCTCTCATCATCTGGAAAAAAAAAATAGTTAAGACTTTTTAAAATTAACTATTCATTACAGTGGTCCCTCGATTAATGAACACAATTGGTTCGACAGAGTCGGTTGTTAACCGAAAATTTCGTTAACTGAATCTATTATTTTAATGGGATATTGGGTAATTGGTTCCAACTCACAGAAAAAGTATACTATACATACAAGTACTGTATACCAGTAATAGAATTAACAAAACATTAAATATAAACTAAATACAGTACTGTACTGTACAGTATACTGTACAATAATAAATAAAAAACAATAGAATACTGTACTGCATTTAACTTACTTTGAGGTGTGTATGTCATATTCCTGGCAGCTTTGTTTACATATCAAACAGCTGATTGTAGAGGCAGTCGATGATGACATGCCACATTCTTTACAGAGTGCATTGATTCTAAAGCCTTGTTCATGTTTCATAATAATTTCTGCACTGTATATTATCAATATGTTAACTAAATTTCAGAATGACCAATAACTTTAATGTAAAAATGCAAAAATATTCAAGAGACCAACAAACTCGATGTTCAGTTCACTGTAAACAAAGTTAAACTAAGAAGCATTGGTGGGTGATTGAATCAGCTGAAGGGCGCACAAAAACTGTTCCCTGTACTGTACTGTACTGTACTGTATCAATATGTTAACTAAATTTCAGAATGACCAATAATTTTAATATAAAAAATACAAAAATATTCAAGAGACCAACTTTCTTTAAATTTACTCCACTGGAAACAAATGTAAACATAAAACCGATTACTGTATTGGCGGACTGGCCGATCAGCTGATGCGCACACCAAGGCGTATTTTTTGCAAGGCTGTCGTTAATCAAAGTTTTGCTCGTTAATGGAACTGAAAATCCTTATGCGAGCTAATTCGTTAACCAAAATTTCGTTAATTGAACCATTCGTTAATCGAGGGACCACTGTATATGGTTTTGCTAAATGTTTTTCAGGCAGAATATCCAAAGAGGATTTAAACAGGTTATTAATTAAGAGACTGAGGCTTACATACTGTAAGTGAAGGGATAGAATGGAATCAGAGGGTATGCAAGTGAACCTGGTGATCAGTAGTGTGGGTGAAGACCTGTAGCAGTAGGTGGAAATGGTCATGTGCTGCTGTCTGTAAGAAGGGTGCTGGTAGTAATTCAATAATGTGCAGTGAGTATGGACGATGCAAACACAAAAGGCACAGTGGCGTAAGTGACAAGACGATAGGATGTTGCTGACCTAAGTGTGCTGTTTGTGCAGGTAATTACATAACTTAGTAAGGCAGGACAAACCTGACATTATTCCATCTTAATATCTGATTACTGGTTTTCACTTCTTTTGTATAACTTATAAAAAGTCATTCTTAAGTACAGTATGAAGAGGCAATTGTAACAGTTTTGGAAATCTTTATAAGGGATATATTAATAATACTGTAGTAATAAAATTACTTTGCAAATGGGATTTTTTTTTTAAATAAGGCTTTATAAGGGATAAAATATGAATATAATCATCATGAAAAACAAGACAGAATAACAACTATAGTTTCATAAATCCTAAAAAAATTAATCACAAAAACTGCTACACATAACCTACAGTATATGTAGTTTAGATTTGCTTGGAAACGATTAAGTCTTCTGTTCCAAAATGCAATTCAATATCACTTATATCATCCCTGGTGCACGCACGCACGCACGCACGCACGCACGCACGCACGCACACACACACACACACACACAGGTGCCGACATACTTGGAGTGAGTCTGTTGAGGTACATGTTGTCGTGGATGGAAGAGTCCCAGGAGGCCACCGCACAAACGTCTTTTTCAAAACACTTGACAATAGGAAGCTGGAAGAATTTATTGCAGTTTTCCTTGGGGATTATGGCATTGTTACCAGCTAAGGTCAGGTTATCACCACACCCTTGTGTTGAGAAGTCATCAGCTGAAATGGTCAAGAGTAAAGAAAAAATGACAAGTGAACATCTACAAGTAACCAAAATTATATGGTTCTTAAGTATCATTTATATAAAAATACATATATATATATATATATATATATATATATATATATATATATATATATATATATATATATATATATATATATATATATATATATATATATATATATATATATATATATATATATATATATATATATATATATATATATATATATATATATTTATATAAGAAAGAATGATGAACAAGTGCACTTGCTTCCTAAATACAGTAATGTGGGAATAACAACATATTTCTCTCACCATTGAGGTCCAAGAACAGGACTGGAACATGAGCTTCCATTCCTGGCAGTGGATCCCAATCAGCTGGAGCTCCAGGGATGTTGGACCCAGCAGCTGGGACCAGGACGGCATTCCTTTCTTCTGTTAAGGTCACCCATTGGTCGACCAATGATTGCTCTCGTTCTGTATCACGTTCATTTTTGTCACCTTTATTGATGATTTTTTGGATCTGAAAGTTAAAAGTGTGAACATAGGAATGAGAACTTTAAGGTGAGGAACATACATATTACCTCTCCAGGAATCTATCGTTCTCAAAGGTTCATAAGAAACAATGATTTATGGTCTATAAATACAAGAAAATGTTGAATGTTTTTATTTTATATGAACAAAATTTATCTTGGTAAGTATTTACATATAGTGTATTATTAGTACACTCATAATCCATACAAATTGTACCTGTTGATCAAGGTACATTCTTCTCCGCTTGAGAGCCTCACTCCATCTCTCCCGGAGAACACTAAGGTCTTCCTCTGTGTACGAGTCCAGTTGTCTCTGGCACCTCAACCGGCCACACACTGACCCGATGCTGATGTTGGTAATGGCCTGAAAAATTTTTTTCTTAATTATTTAAAATATTATCCAGGATACAAAATTTTGCATTAATGATTATAGAATGTATACACAAGTTACAGAAATAGAAAATATATATAAAATACCTCACATTATAACATATATCTCACTACATAACTCAAATAATCGCTAAGGTAACATACGTGGCATATAATCTTACCTCACAAATAAGTGGAAGAGTGCCAGAGTTTGACACGGGCTTAACTCTACATACAATACGTCGTTGTTGACCTTGGCGCAGCTGATACACACCGCCCGTTAAGACGTCTTTTTGAGGAGACACTTCCACGGACACATATTCCCCACACTCTCCCAGTTCCTGTATCTCCACCCACAGTTCAACCTTACGAGTCAGCTCATTCCATCTGACGGTACATGTTATTGTAGTTTGTTTACATTCCACTTATCTAACATAAACTTTATAAATTACTAAAATAAAAAATATTTCCTTATTTTAATTGTTTACAAGCACTATTGTTAAAGACTAATTTATTTCCATTAAAAGAAAGATACACAACTGGGCAGCTGACAACTACATATACAATCTACAGAGATATTAATAAACAAGGACCTTTAATACATCTCTTACCTATCAACAAGGGATCTTGCTTTGGCTAACTGCTGGTCAACTTCCCAGCCCATCCGAGCAACACCAAAACCCGCAGATCTGTGGCCCCACACCTCAATGGAGAGCGCACCGTCTGCACAGTGTTCTAAGAAGTCTTCAGTTACTAACACGGTGTAGTCTTTCAAGTGCTCAAACTAAAAAACATAAAACATCATACCAGGAATTAATATAAACACAAATTTTTATATACATTTAATAAGTTAATAATCTCCTATATTCAACCAAAGACACTCTACCCACATGCACTGACCACTGAAGCATTATATAACAGCTGTATAAACTTACTATTCTTCAAAAGGCTACAATTACATGAAAAAATGTCCTACAATGATAACAATCAACTTAATATTCAGTGACATGACTAAATGACTGTCAAGAGGGGCCATAGAATCATCACCTTAAATTTTTGGATTAAACAAGATTTCTAAAGTCTACATAAATTTCAGCATGTGACAAAATATGAATTCAAAATGTAAAAAAAAAATATGCTGTTGTTGCTGAAGTAACATTATCCCATATCAGTGTTCTAGTTAATCTAAGTGAGCTACAATACTGTATCATGCATGAATAGAATAGAAAAATATCAAAGAGCATAAATCTTCAGTTATTACCTTAAATGTCATGGAATCTTTGGATGTTGGAGCTGCTGGAAATTCATTATTAACAACTGGAGCTACAACTTCACCCTCTGTCTGACCCCAGAACTGGTACTGACAGAAGACAAAGTGGGAGAGAGATGGAGGGAGCCCAGCAGCCTGCTTAATACAAACCTGAGAAGAACAGTTCAATGATACATGAATAATTTGCTAGTTTGTGCTAGGCAGTTAGTACAAATATTTGGCAGTTTAATATACCGATTGTGGAGTAGGTGTAATATTATTTTGTTCAAGATACAGTATACTTTAACCACTAACCCTTATTATGTAGGGATTTATGATGCATCTTCACTACTAGGGTTAGAAACATTTAGACGGAAGAGAAAAAAAAAAGAGATGCCAATAAATATAAAAAGGAAGGGATAATACAGCTAATAACAAATGAAGAAACAGAAAAGAAAAACAGGATAAACATACAGACATAATACTCACTCTAACAGACACTGTGCTATTCTGGACATCATCTTCCTCCCTACTCTGAGCAGAATCACCAGAAGATTCAGAAAGTGTGTCTGCAAATCTCTCTTGTGGAAACTGACCAGCTATACGAATAATTTCAACCTGGAAGCAGACAAAACATTACTCAGACTACAGTAACACCTCTCCTGAAACAGCTATGACAAGTGCATATATACAAACAATTTCATCTTTTTTTTTTAATTACAGTAGTTAAAAAAATTTAGTTAATGGTCAAATTACCTGCAATCTGCCGGCCACTTCTCCCTGTTGAGAAATAATGGGGACATGGTAGTTGAGCCGTACATCGTGAAAAAGACAGTCGAGGAAAATGTTGGCTACTCCAATAAGGTTGTGATTTTCCTGATTCTCGTAAAATGGATCAGCCTCTGGACGGGTAATTAGTGGGTTATTATGCTGCTCGTCATACATCTCCCGCATGACGATCAACTTGTGTTCTAACTTTTCCATCGACCAAACCTGCAAATAAAACAAAAGTGTGTTGATTACTACACTTGTATTACTGGGGTTACCATTGTCACCAACAGCCAATAACTTTATGTAACTGCAACTTGAATAACTTCTTCACCTTCTGGTACAATATAAATTTCTTCCTGTCCAAACCTCTTAATATAATTGACCAATCTAGCTATCAACTGTTTTATATAATTCTATCTATTTGTCAGCTTTTATTGGCACAGATTACTTCTACTTATCAATCGGCTATTTCTATCCATATCAACCATCTGCTTCTATCAGCAATACCTATCTGATTTATCAATCTGTCTATTAGCCAAGTTCTATATCCTAACACAACATGGTGGCCACAGTGACCCAAACCTCAAAGAATGAAGAATTACATAGTATCTTAGAGAGGTTAAGGTCCAACATTCTTTTTCACACTATTGAAATGAATACATTCAGTCCTAACACCTACATTAAACACTCTACTATGTTGGATTATGGCTAATATCTTTCAACAGAACATAAACGTACTGTACCTGGTTTAGTTTTCCTTTCCTCTTGACTAGAATTGCTGGTTCACTCACAAATGCAGACCTCTTCCTGTTAGGGGACAGGTTCTGAGGAGGAATCTGCAAGGTCACCCCAAAGGTTGTCTGTTTGCCCATTTCGTCAGCAAAAATGTTTGCCTCGCGCACGAGGGTGTTCGCCTTCATAATGTCTTGCCTTAGCTGCGCCAAACTGCGTCGGAACATGTCCTCTCTGCCAGGGTATAAAAGAGAACTGTGCTCGAGCATGTCCTCTCTGGAGTGTAATAGAGAGAATTAATGTACACATCCAGTATCAATACAAGACAATACAGCAGGGAGGAAGTTACCAAAGAACTGACATCCATCATGAACTAAAGCAATACATCAATAAAAAAAGATTGTCACTGTGTTTTAGAAATAAGAGCAAGAAATATTCTAAACAGATCAGGTGCACTTTAGGTAATTATCTAAGCTTAGGTTGACCATGGCACATAGGGAGAAATATGCAGTGAAAATATGAAAAGAACAAAAGCTGAACTACAAGTCATAAATATTAAAGCAAAAGTAGAGAATAAACATATCTAAGTATAATGAAAATCATAACTGTACAAGCATCAACATGCAGATAGGAGGCCGACTGCTTCATGCTTAGTGCTCTCTACTGGATACGTTGGTCGTCATCCTTATATGTCTCACAGCGTTTGTTTGACACAGCTTTAAAAATAATCGGTAATCATGCAGTAATGCCAAGAAAGATTTCATAAACTCACCCACAGTTGTAACTTTCTTCAAACACCAAACAGGTTTACTTCAATAATTTAGAATGTAAACCTGCTTTCTTTTTAATTTTCTTTTCATCGTTTTAAATGTAATAGCCACTGCTTCTTTATTTCAAAAGGTTGTAAAAAGGCAGGTATGGGTTTAATTATAAAGTACAAAGTCTATTAAAATGTTAAATCTCTTGTCTTTGTTGTGAAAATGTTAATATTGTTTTGCAAGTCCTCATAATTTATACTGTACAGTGGCAATGTTTCTTCAATAAGATAGGTTAGCTTAGCCTGGGGCAATGATGTGGTGACTGATTGGTTTAGTACTGTATAAACTACTGTACAGCATTTAGCATCCAACCAACTCTGCCTGGACAAGAGACTGAATTTGTCTCTCTTAGACTGGCAGCCCTAAACATTACGTACCAGTACTGTCATTCAGACTTACTCTTCAAGGAAGCCAATGTTAATCAGTTACTCCCACCAGTAAAGATGATGATTCTCAAATTCTGTGCATTTGATCATTACTGAATTTACTATGAATACCACATTATCATTTTTAATCTCTTCTTTCAGCAAGACAATTTGTGTAGCGTGTGTTGATGAATAGGCTACACATATTGAAGATTAAGTACATTTTGTGAGTCACAGCCAAAAGGGGAAACATTCATCTATGCTGACAACTTTCATTTGTTTTTCTTGTAATTTTCTGTTTTAAATATTTTTTCTGTATTGCCTTGACACACAAATTTCTTAGTACTATTTCCCTTTCTCTTACGTCCTTAACATACACAAAGAATACATCAACAAAGAGTGCCTTAAGACGTACGTACCTCTCTTGCGCCCATTTTTCTATTCGTAGTTGGGACGTGGGAGTAGAAGGAGTCATTTTTGTACCTCTTAATGGATCAAACGGCATATAAGGGGCATAAGGTGTAGTGGGAGATAAAATATTTCGTAACTGCTGGAACTGCTTCTCGTATTCTTGACGCTGTTTTTCCAAAGCCACTAAAAAAAAAAAAAAACACTAAAGTACAGATCACGGACATTACATTATTACTCTTGAAATATATCTTTCTGAAATTTACTGATTGAGTATTTCTAATGTCCAAATTTCTAAGTTTAAAGTAAATGATTCGCAATAACAAAAACACAGAAACTTTTAAGCTCGAGTTGTCTCCGGTCTCCATATAGTCAACAATGACTTCTCTATCTTGACTTCTATTACAATTTCGTATGGGAAGAATTAAGGGACAGGGAATAACCTCAGAAGATGGAGTATGACTGGTATGGGTGGAAGAGTTGCCCGAGACAGGAAGAGACTAAAACAACACATGAGAAATACTCCTAACCTAACCTAACTTCATGTTCTTAACCGATACAATAAACAACACACAACCCAATAATGGAAAAGCTATAAATGCAGATTAAATAAAACAGTAAATAATAAAATCAAACTGATGAAAAATATTATACACCTACTCTGCTTATCTTCTTCATGCTGCCGCTCTAGGTTCTGTATGGCTGCCTGGATGGGGTCATTACTCAGTTCCTTTAACATTAGTTCTTCCCGAGCAAAGTTGTAATCGATGGGTTGAGCTGGCGTCTGAGGCTCCGAGTTATTACCACCTGAAATATATATCCACTACGTCAGTAACTATTTACATTTACACGTGAAATGTGTCACTTAATCAGTAATGAGATATATTACCACCTGAATTATATCACTGCCAATAACTACCTGGTAAATACTATATTAACACCTGTAAATATATCCCTATCACTACGTTATACACACTCTCACAAAAGAGAAATTAATGTAAACTTTTATAACAATTTAAGTTCATAAGAATAACAGAAGCCACTGTAGTTTTCATAGACAAAGTTTAACATTTATTTTACAACAGTGGAAAATTTATTCACTTATAATGAAGATGAGAAATATTATACTCACTAGTGCTGGTTTTGGGACAGTTTACACGATAGAAATAGTTGAAGCCCCAGAGTATTCTGTCACCGTGCCGCAACTGCAGTTTCTCCGTCACCTAAATGAGAAGAGATTTTGTGATAAGTGTTTTGTGAATAACTTGGATAAACTACAGAAGAGAGAGTGAATGACAGGAAGCGAGGAGAGTTTATACTGTTTTTAATCCTCACCACCCTGGACTGTTCCATGAGGGAGCTTGCAGGGGTGAAAAATATATACAGTACTATACTAGTTTGTTTGTTTTTCTAATTAATAAGTGTCAGCTACAAGTATCTCTAAATATTATAAGAAAATCGAGTAATATATATATATATAATAAAAAAGAAAGAGAAGATCAAGCTGTACCTGAGAGCCATTAACACACGTTCGAGCATTTGGGTAAGGTTCAATGAAGAGGTCAGTGTCCTGTATCAAGAGTACACTGTGATGAGTTTCAATCCCCACACCTGAGAGCTGAATATCGTTTGGTTCACTGCCAGCATCTGGTCGCCCTACAAGTGTGCGTTCCTGAGGAACACAAAAATGAATCAAAAGTTTACCTTTATGTAACCAGGTTAATAAAAACATAGCAACACTCATAACAGTCCCAAGCAAACACTTGTTGAAATAAACATTAAAATCAAAATTGAATCTAATACAGTCTTGAATCTATTGAAAGTTAAAAGGTGAAAAGCAAGTTGAGGAGATGATATGAAACAATAAAACAACACGTCATGAACCATCAGAGGGTAAACTATGCAGTAAACAGATGCAGACATAATTTCATACATTTTAAATACAGAGGAATATATTAAGTTCTTCACAGATGCTCAATAGAACAACCCGATATAAAATATTATAATAAAAAAGGCAAATTAAATACCTTTAAGTAATAAACGAGCATCTCATTCAGAGACGGATCAGCATTTAGGTTCACAAGATAATATTTATTTTTCTCCACACTAATGCCCGACGCTTGTACGCTGATCCCCATCTTCTCCAGGGTCTGTTGTCTCTCCTGCTGGACACGTTCTGAAGACATAAAATACAGAACACATGTTAGCAGAAATGAATTTACTTGTACACAGCTAAACTATTACAAAATAGGTTACTGTGTCCCTACTTGTAAGTGCATCAGCAACGCCTTAAGAAATGAATGTTTGATGGCTACTATTATTTTCTTATAACTCAGTTGAACTAGATGCAGTACACATGAGTGCTCCTTCATGGATAACGAAAGACAAATATATATCAGTTGTGTAATAAGAGGTGAGTAAATGTGTTGTATTTAAAGATTTGAAGGTTGTAGAATGATGGAAAGTAATGACAGGGAAGAGAACACCAGACACAAAGAGTTCAAGGAAAGAAAGAGATGAATGATGATGAAGTTTATCTAAAAGGAACTTGCAATGAGTTGGGTATTAAATACAACTAAACGGGAATGGAGGAAAATGATAGACTGGATTGGATTACTGAAAATCAAGATCTTACAGCACAGATCCCAAGCATTTGAACTCAAGAGAGTTACAGATACAAGAATGAAGATATTGGTGGCACTAGTTCATCTGTGAGAAAGACTAAAATGCACATACTACACCTCCTCCTATTACTACTATCACTTTACAACAAGGAGACAAATGAACAAGCATGATCATTGATTGAGTTAGTGTAGGCTGGTCATACAAGTCTCACAGTAAAGGAATCAGGTAGAGTATTCTGTGGTGTCTGATGCAGCTAAACTCCTACTAGTACACTCAACACTGATCATTAATCAACAACAATTGTAAATTCATCTCACCAGTTTTCTTAAGTTTATTCTCCCAAGTTTCTGACAGATTTGTGATGAGCTTTTCACTTTCATGTAGCTTCTCATTGAGGCTCTCCTCCTCTTGAAGGGATGCTGGGCCATCTCTCGTCATTTGTTTTAGTGACTTGGGGAAAAAGAAGAAAAGGTGAGTGTCAATTTGTTTTAAGAGTAATAACACATGTGAAGAAAAACAGTGCCCATGTAAGAAAATCTGTGAATAAGGGAAACCACTTATACTTTTACAAATATACACATGAGTTAATGGTATTCATCCCTGATATTTTCAGAAAAATTTGGTCAAATTTTTATGATACAAATACTACTTGAGTTACTGCTATTATAACTGCAATTACTAGCTACCTGTCCTCCTATTATAACATCTACTAATGTACTAAAGAAAATTTTCCCTTTAGTTTTTTTGAAATGCCATCTCATTACGGTTTTACATTTATCCTCTTTGCCAGAAATGGAAAGATATACATACTACTGTACAGTCAAATGCATGTAAACTATTAATGAATTTGTGATACTTTAATAAGTTGTAAGAACAGAACAGGTCACCAACATACATGGAGCTGTATCCGTAAAGTCTCAACTTCTTCACGCAATTCTCGAATAATTTTAGCATTGGGATCTTCATTGACGACAGCGTGATTGACGATTCTTTTCGCTCGGTCAGCATACCGCAGTGTGGACAACGTCTCCTCAAAGTTATCAGCTGAAGGAGACACTGTGGCCACCATGACTGTGCGACTATTTCCTCCAAGGTTGTCCTGTAAATTGAAACATAATATAAAACTTACTGCTCGATATCACCAACACAAACTCTCAAGTATACTTCTCATTCTACTACACTGTTCTGTCTCTTCTTTATCATCATTCATGAAGCTATATTGAAAATTACCAAATATAAGATGTACGTGAGAAGACTAAATTTCCCCGAGTTTTGAATTTTGCTATGTGGCAGGGAAGAATGTTTTACCAAGACAAAAAACATTCATTCAAACATGGCAGACCTGCATGCAACTACAGTGAAACCTCCCTATAACAGACTTTTCTCCATATAATCAGTTAGATGAGGGGATTTCACATCTAAAGGACCATTGATATAATGGACTTTCCTTTCCAAATACTGTAGTCTGTTAAATAGAGGTTTAACTGTACTCCCTTTGTGTGGCGATCCCCGAAAATATTTACAATCAACGATTTTAAACGAGTCGATATAGTTACCTTGAGGAGCCAGGTGAGGACCGAGTCTCTGTACGGCACAAAGTTATCCCCTTTGCCTCTTCCTTTCCCCACCGCTTGGTCTGCCAACTTGGATATTACTAAGCCCAAGGTTGTCAGTGACCTAAAATGGCATAAGGAGTCAGTGACTTTAAAGGGTACAATATTTTCAGTGACTTAAAATGGTACAATACAGTATAAGGAAAACAGTGACCTAAACCAGACGTGAAATATTACAGGAAACATCAGTTGCTTATAAGATGTAAGACTCACTTATTAATATTGGAACCCTCCTTTAATCTCTCTCCCACTGCTCCTGTTTTAACGGCTCTTTCTGACCCAGCTAGATCTACCAGGGACATCTTGGACACCTGCAAGTAATAATAATAACCAAAACATTAATAACAGTGAAAGTGGTCCCATAAGATAGACCGCCCATTAGGGACAGTGTGGAAGGAGGCCGTTACTGCACTCAACTACCTTCACTTCCCCAGCTTGTGAAGTTAGGTACCCATTTATAGCAGGTAAGCACACCAATCATACAAGGTAACTCATTTGAATCGATAAGTCACTCAACCTGCTTCGGTGCGAGTGACTCTATACGTCATTGTCTGCTAATTTTACACATGTTTCAGGGCCATAGAGGCACCATCACACAACCACAGGAAACTGTTTTGGATTACATTTCAAGTCCTACACAGCACCAGCCAAAACATGAACAAATAATAAAAATGAAGGAGAAAGTAAAAAAAAATATATGGTACTGCTTATGACTGTCCTTATATTACACAATAACAAGATTTTTCCCAGGATAAAATTTTACTGTCGAAGTATTAACAGTAAAGAATAATATCTGACTTATAATAATTCATCATAACATCAACTCACCTTTTCTCCAGACACCCCAGAGGCAATGTCTGTTACCGTCTGAGTGAGGACGACCGTAAACACCGCGTGAGATCGTGAAGACTCGCTGTTCATGTTGGTAGCCGCTACTGTCCTCGCTTTGTTTCCTTCTTCAATTAACTGTTCTATTTCCTATTTGAAAAACACAATTATCATAAATAACACCCAACAAAGTGATGCAAAATTTTTTACACTTGTAATGTAAGTTCAACATCTTTTATGCCAATAAAAATAAATTGGATAAAAAAATTTACTACAACTCGGCATAAGGTGAATTTAGTCATGCATTTTGCCTCTTGTGCTGTGTATCATCATCAGTAAGTAATCCTCTCAATTAAGTAATATCATCTGACCTTTAGTACTAAATAAAAGTTATACAATGTCTTACTTCATATGCGGACACGGCCAGGAGTGAGAGACCATCCACGTAAGGACCCAAAATGTTGTGTTCTCGCACCTTCAGGGTCTGTCTTGAGCCTTTGGGATCTAACAAGTCATGTACCTGTGAGGAGGGAAGGTTTGTCGTCACTGATATTTTACAGCAAAAAAATTATATGTTAATGATGATAAGTGTTATCGCCGCTGGCTACTGACGTCAGTGCTGACTTTTTGCTGCCTTGCCCGAACAAAACATTAGATCTCTCAGCCTGCGACCACGTGCCCCCCCCCCCACCACGCGACCTGTTACCCCTCCAGATGTGGCGGCTGGAGAGGGGTGGGGTGAGGGTGTTTACCACCGGGAGTGTTATCGCCGCTGGCGTCAGTGCTGGAGTGTGAGTACTGGCGTCTTGCTGCCTTACCCGAACAAAGATGAGGGGGTGGGCGGTGTTTACGGACAAGAGGTCATGATTCTGCTAAATGTATGGTTTAAAAGGCGGTGTGGCCGCCTGGACTCTAGGAGATTGCCCCCTCAAGTGATGCTGTGAGGGCCAGCCCTCTGCTAGCAGTGGTGAACAACAACTCCCAATCCTAGCCGAGTTTTGTGCTGCAACAATTTACACAGTACTGCAGTATCTTCCCTTGGAACACCATACTGGTTTGCATTGACCCACACTTGTAAGTACAGCCAAAGTGATGACATACCCCTCAGTACTTAAATATTGTGGACTAATTATGCCTACTCGTTCCTGCCCTACCTGGAGCAATAAGACAATGCGGAGTGAACTGTAGCTAAAATTAATAGAGTTATGAACTTTGTATCATGTCATTATGCTCAATAATCAATTATAATTAAGATAAATTGTGTGAGACTAATTAATTATGTATCAGATAGATCACCATGTAATACTAATGAACGCCTTGTTGTCTGCAGGTTTTGACCACATCAATAAATGTTGAATGCGTCAAAAGACGGGTTCAATCATTCCCTTCGACTTGCCCGTCACCTGAACGTCCTTAACTAAGGCGTTTACAATAAGAATGAAGACAATGCTTCTATAAGACTTTTATAATAATGTATATAAGACCTTTAAAAGGTTATTAATGTAAGAACACGGTATTCAACAAAACTACACTAATTGTAAGAGTAACATCAATCATTACATACACTTTACAGCCAAGGACGATACTGTACTTTACTATTCTTATTTTGTTAATCCATGTTTCTGTACACTTTAAAGATAGTGACAGACAACACCTCAAGTCTTAGGTGTTAAAACTTGAGGCATTAGAGAAAATAAGTGTAAGGATTTTAGCTCAGATAACCTCAGCTACAGATAACAAGCCACAAACTCAGGTTGTTGAGAGGTCCATTCACATTCCTCTCACTGAGCAGAGAATTTTATGAGGTAGGCAGTTTTGGGTTACATCTTCATCACTCCACAACCAGGGAGAAGACTTCCCAACCTGTCCATTCTTTATTGTGTGAACTGGGAGACTCAACCAGGCAGAAATAAAGGCTGGCAAAAGAAATCCTTTACCGAGAGACTAAAGTGTGTGTGATTTTACAAAGACCACACACTCATGGTTGGCTATTGGCTAAGTGACACATCCTTCAACAAATAGTTATGTAACTGATCAATGATCTCTCTCTTCTTGATCAAATGGATGAACATTTGTGATAAAAGATCAGTGAAGACATTTATCCTCTCACATCATCAGCAAGAAGGTGACATTATACTATACATTATACTATAATATCAAATTTAGCTGGTTTTTTTATCATTGTTATTCTGATATGGAAGATCTTTAGTTAAACAAATGTTGACTTGAAGAACTTTACTGGTGTTATGTCCAAAATTGGTTCTTATATCTTTGGGGCATAAGTTATTCCTTTAACTCTTCCATTACTTAAATTTATGAAAAAAGTTCTTTCTATAGCATTAACAGAACAAGTTTGACTGTAAAAATATCTCTCTTAAGCTTGGGCCAATTAGCTGTGGGGGTCCATTAAGCCAGCCACCAATACTCGTAACGTTGACAATGCAAACTACCTTTTCATTGTAGATCTCCATAAAGGACACCTCAACCTTGTGTGAGTTCTGGCAGCTTGCGTTGGCGGCAATTCTCTCAAACAGTGTGTCACAGAGGCGGGGGATGAGGCCCTTGCTGTCCGCCGCTCCCATCATGGTGTATGACTTGCCAGATCCTGTAAGAAACAAACCAATTGATAAACTCCGTAACTGAAGCACTCGGTAGGTAAATATAATTAAATACGGCTACAAAATTATTACTTGGATCACATGAAGATTATGCACCCCAAGATAAGTTAGGTCAGGTTAGGGTACATTATGTTAAGTTAGATTAGGTTAGGTTATTAAAGTGTGTAAGGTTATTAAAGTGTGTTAGGTTATTAAAGTGTGTTAGGTTGTTAAAGTGTGTTAGGTTATTAAAGTGTGTTAGGTTAGGTTAGAATATGTCAGGTTATATATTTTCCAGGGATATTCATATACCAGACGCCATTGAATCAAATCAAATCAACCACTCCAAAACCTTTAGACTTGCCTTGCTATGAGAGTTTAATATAAAAATTTATTAAAACATTCCACTGGTAGCCTGGGGGAACGGCATACACGATCACTTATTAAACACACCTGCCAATGCATATACTGACGGCAGCCTTATTGGTTCACCTGTATACCTCGTAATAATTATGTCTACATCAACTTCGTTCATATATGTACTACCTATGTATGTATATAAGAGCAAAATAACTAAATAAACATAATTCCTTGGTGGAGAAACACAAGCATTACCTGAGAGCCATTTCACCACCTGTTCATCAACGTCAGGTAAACAGGTGTCACATGGCCGTTGTTAAAAGATTTCAACGAACAAGAACGTCAAATAGTCCAAATTTCTTTTTCCAGGAGGTATAAAGTAATTAATTTTATCCTAACCAAAATTACCCTGGAATTACTCGATTACGTAAGGTTAAGTTAGGTTTGGATTGTATAAGAACAAAGAAAAAATAATAATAATTGTTGAGTAGTTAGGTTGGTGTATTCTTCTAACATTGGCCATCTTATGTTTCCCTTTTTGTACATTATTTAGTAAACAAAAAACGAGTTTAATCTTATAAAATCACCGAGTTAACAAAATATTAAGATTAAAGACTTACAGAAAAGAAGACTGCAGTTCTGGGATGGAAACATTTAATACGAAATTTGAGTCCACTTGAGGCTCTAGAAATACTGATGGTTGGTTGGTAAAATGAACTCGGGATTAATTAAAATTGGTTATGCAGGAAAGAGCGTCGTCCAGTACTAGTGTGTGAAAGCAAAGCAATTGGGAAAATAAATTAGCCTTTTAGGAACCTCACAGCTATTTGTTGGCATGGAGGGAGAGAGAGAAATTAATGTGATGATAGTCTTACCAATAAACGTTAACATTAATTTTTTGTCACTCTTGCAGGTAGGCGATTACTTGTTAAGGCTCTGGGTAATATTAAATGAGCTCTCTCTCTCTCTCTCTCTCCATGCATTCATACATTCACAGAAGCTAAAAAATATATCCCACAGGAGCTATAAAATATATCCTACAGTAGCTAAAAAATATATCCCACAGGAGCTATAAAATATATCCTACTTTATATTCAAACTTGAGCTATAAATATTCCCGACTCTTTGTAAGCCAATTTGGGAAACTGATCTAACAGCTTTCCTTCTTAAACAACCTCGTTACCTGGTCTTTCCCGCCTACCACTATCTGCTATAACAACCACAACCATCACTACCACCTGCTATAACAACCACCATTCACCATCACGGCTACTAACAACTACCACCATCACCATATACGAGAGAGAGGCGTGAGTGAGAGTGACCAGCGAGGAGGGAGAGGAAGAATATGGGGTGAGCGTGGGAGGAGAGAGAGAGAGAGAGAGAGAGGAGAGAGAGAGAGAGTATTGATCAGTGCAGCGGCGGCCTGGTGGGGGAGGACAGGAAGGCAGCGGCATCCCGACCTAGGAAGGGGTCACTAGAGGGGGGAGGGAGGGAAGGGGTCACTGGAGGGAGGGAGGGAAGGGGTCACTGGAGGGAGGGAGTCACTGGAGGGAGGGAGGGAGGGATTTAGAAGGTCACCAAGGGAGAGGGAGGGAGGAAGCTTGAAGGTCAATGAGGGAGAGAGGGAGGGAAGGAGGGAGGTCACTGAGGGAGGTCACAAGATAAAGACATCACGTGACCATCAACCAGTGTAGTTCAGAGTACTTAGTGGTCAACCCCTCCCCTCACCACGTGTCAAAACATAAACAAAACCAGGAGTGAGAGCCAAGCCCCCCACCCCCTCTTCTCACCCCTCACCGCCGTAAATTCAATGTTGTTTCCACCTGCATGATGTTGAAGTCTTTTAAATCTATTATATTCTTTATCAACTGTCTATGAAATGGCTAAGGAGATGGCTGATGTAATGGCTTAGATGATGGCTGGCTGACTTTAGGCAATGGCTCACTGGCTTTCATAACTTTAATCTCAACTGTAATATCATCCACTGTAGTATATAACTTGACCTCCTGTAATATATACGCACTCCACATATCACCGTAACACCACTACCCATCATAAAACGATACCATCAAAGATAGAATTACAGTGTTATTAAGAGCTTCAAGTGAGGTGGTATAGGGACTACGAACCTATTAATGTTTACAAGATAAGTCAATCTTTCTGTAAAGGGAGAATATCCAAGTCCCAGTAATTAAACTCATTAATATAAATGGATAATAAGACTTCGTAAACACTCCGTCTTTCCTCACCTCCCCAAACAAGATCAGACTCCCGCCGTCCCCACACAACTCCTGACCCCAAATAGTGTGAATAATACCCCAGGCGTATTATGACACCTAAAACCACAATACCACAACTACAACAAAAAATATTAAAATGAGACGAAACTCGGGCGGAATATAAAGGAATGGAGGAACAATGAGTGGCAGACAGGGTGAAGCTGAGGTGAATGTTGACACACACACACACACACTCTATCTCAAAAGTCTCTCACTATTTCCTTGGTCGAGGATCTCATTGTCTAACTTTGTATTTATTTCGGTGCTGTAGTAGAAGTTGAGATGCTAAAGGTGTGGTGAGGAGGGGGGGAGGTGAGGGTGAGGTGGGGGAGGTGAAGGAGGGCATGACGATCTACCATAACAGTAGTTAGCCAGTAGTTACAACCTCAACCTATTCTCAAACATTCTAATTATGCATTCATCCCCCCGCTCACCCACTACCGCCACGACGCAGTGTACTTCCAACATCATTGTGGCCGCCATCTTCAGTGTGAAAAGTACATCTGGTCCTACATCACCGTTTAAAAGGAAGATTAAACATATAAAAACCCTGAGAATCCATCTATGTGTCTGTAAGTCAACCAGTTAGATAACGCTGTGGTAGTCACTTGCAACACCAGTGAGGAGGAGGAAGTTTTGGCGCACGTATCACACGGCATCGGGCCCCTGGTGACGTCTTCCTGCCTGCGTCGCCTACAGTAGCTACTTGTAGACACCCAACAGATAGATGGTCAGGGAAGAAAGGGGGTTTGTGGTCACGTCTAGTACCCAGACACCTCCCTATCCTATACCTCCAAATACTCCTTCAGACACCCCTTTACACCGCCCAAACACCCCATACACCTCCCAAACACCCCCTACACCCCTTTACACCTCCACAACCCCCCCTACATCCCATTACACTTCCCCAACACCCCTTTACACCTCCCAACACAGTTACAGTCAGCCTTTCAGACCGTCAGCTCCCCAGAGGCTCACAACCCCGACACGAAGACTCAACATCCCAAACTTTGAAGACATACTGGTGAGGTGGTAAGACATCCTGGGGTCCTGGGGGGTCCTGGAGGGAAGTCCTAGGGGAGGAAGGTTCTAGGGGGAGGAGGTCTAAGGGAGTGGAGGTCTAAGGAGGAGGAGGTCCTAAGGGGGAGGAGGAGGTCCTAAAGGGAGGTCCTAAAGGGGAGGTCTAGGGAGGGAGGTCCTAAAGGGGAGAGGAGGTCCTAAAGGGAGGTCCAAGGAGGTCAAGGGAGAGTCTAAGGGAGGAGGTCTAAAAGGGAGAGGGGGAGGTCCTAAAGGGGAGGGAGGTCCTAAAGGTGGAGGAGGTCCTAAAGGGAGAGGGAGGTCCTAAAAGGGAGAGAGGAGGTCCTAAAGGTGGAGGGGAGGTCTAAAGGAGGGAAGGTCCTAAAGGGAGGAAGATCCTGAAAGGGGGAGGTAAGGAGATCTGAGGGGGAGGGGAAGTCTTATTGGATACACGAACCATACATGAAGCCTTTAGGAATACACGTAAACAGTTCTTAAGAGCATAACAGAGAGGCTTCCTGAGGTTTCCTGGACTATACTTGAGGCTTCGTTAACTAGGCTTAGACTACACTAGAGGCTTCAACCAGCACATCTCTTGTATACCCGAGGCTTCCTGGGGCTTCCTGAGGCTTCCTGGTCTCACTCCTCCACCTCCTCCTCCCCCTTGAACTTCCGTCTGTCCGTCCGTCCTGGTTTCCGTAAACAAGGTGGTGATGTTGCCAGATCTAACCCAACATGTCAGTCCTCTTCCATCCTCCCTCCCTCTTCCATCCTCCTCCTCCTCTTACACTCTTCCATCCTCCTCTTCCTCCACCCTTCCACCTTCTTCCTCCTCCTCCACTCTTCTATCCTCCTCTACATAACAACAACAATAATAATAAACAACATAACACTGACATAACCACCCACAATAAACTCACTACATCAGCCTCAAGAAAGAGTCGCCTCACATTACCCTTAAGAGGTTTAACAACATCATTTAAGGTCAGTAAACATTAAGGGCCTCTGCCAGTTAAGACCATTACTGATCATCAACTATTGGTAATTAACGAACACATAAGGTTGAAAATACATAACACAACATTAATGAGGTCCAGATGTATGTTATGGTATTACTAACATACACACGTTAAAAAGTATATTACTGTATATTTCCGTATGAACATGTATCGAACCTAACCTAACCTACCTTACCTTACGCTAACCTACCTAACCTAACCTACCTTACCTTACGCTAACCTACCTTAACTTAACCTACCTTACCTTACGCTAACCTACCCTGTCCTACCCTAACCTAACCTACCCTACCCTGTCCTACCTTAACTTAACCTACCTTACCTTACGCTAACCTGCCTGTACCCTAACCTAACCTACCCTGTAATTACGTAGGTACAGGAATATATGAGTGTTGTGTTTACCGAGACCAGAACAAAGATCAAAACAATACTAATGGTTGTTGTTGTGGTTGTCACCGTCCCCACACACAAGCTAAATTACAACAGAAACAAAAACATTTCCATATTTTTCCTCCCTCCCCCCACCTGTGTTGTTTGTGTGTGGCCACCTGCCCTCAGTGTGTGTGTGTGTGTGTGTGTGTGTGTGTGTGTGTTCTCAGGTGTTAACTCGTTTTATAATTTTCTCATTTTTCTTATCTCTTGATTCCTTCTTCCTTCATCCTTCCTCCTGTTCCTCCTTCTCTTCCCCTCCCCCCTCGTTCTCTCATTAAGGATTATCAGGTAGGAGACGATGGCAGGTGGTGAGGCGACGAACAGCGTTATGACACACCGTGGTTAGTAGTTAACGATCCGGCGCTGGTAGTTAAGAACCATTAACTACCCCACGTGGTGTAATATAACCACCTTAGGTAAGACAGGTATTAGTAGCCGGTGTGTGTGTGTGTGTGTGTGTGTGTGTGTGTGTGTGTGTGTGTGTGTGTGTGTGTGTGTGTGTGTGTGTGTGTGTGTGGGTAGGCGGAGGCTGTGTTGCGGACCGTCGTCATGACAACTCTCCTGCCTCTCCCTCCCTCCCTCCTTTATCGCTCCCTCCTTTATCTCCCCTCCCTTTATCTTTACTTCACTGTCATTCCCCGTCCATTTGCCAAGTCACACACACACACACACACACACACACACACACACACACACACACACACACACAGGCCACTTATCACAAATATCCTCCATTTTATTTTTATTTCAAACCCGTTGTATAAAAATGTAAATTAGGCGATAAACCTGAACAACACCTGAAACAATTTTTACAAACAGGATTTACAAGTTGTGAGAATTGTGCCACATACACCTGTACCTGTTAGTGCACCTGTCTTCCTTCCTGTACCTGTTAGTACTGTCTTCTCTGTATGTTAGTGCACTTGTCTTTATGTACCTGTTAGTGCACCTGTCTTCTACACCTGTACCTGTTAGTGCACTGTCTTCGTGTTTACACCTTACCTGTTAGTGCACCTGTTTTGTGTTATGCACCTGTTTCTACACCGACCTGTTATTGTCTTTGTTGTTAGTGCTGTTTCTACACTGTACCTGTTGGTCACCTGTCTTCTACACCTGTACCTGTTAGTGCACCTGTCTTCTACACCTGTACCTCTGTAATCACTGCACCTCACTCAAATACCTACAAGAATTACTCGTACATGCGCGTCTACAACTGTACGTCATATACCTGTCTGTAATGTGTGTGTGTGTGTGTGTGTGTGTGTGTGTGTGTGTGTGTGTGTGTGTGTGTGTGTGTATCTGAGTGTGTGGATACAAGTTAAGATTACAACATCATAAACACACACACACACACACACACACACACACACACACACACACACACACACACACGTACACACACACTACACACACACACACCATTAAGACAGGCACTACTGATGGTTCCATATATATCAGAGGGTAGTTACCGGGGGAGGGGGGTGGTGGGGGGGGGGAGGGGGGCAGAAATGAGACGCTGGCTCATTTAATCTCTAACTAGAACATGTGAGGCTACATATTAGTACACCCCCCTCTCTCCGTGTGTGTGTGTGTGTGTGTGTGTGTGTGTGTGTGTGTGTGTGTGGTGGAGGTCACTACAAAAGTCTACGGTTCTCGCCCTCCGTGTTTAATTTACTGGTGCCTTACAATACCTCTACCTCACAACACAACAACACCTCCAACAACACAATACATACAACACTAACAACCACTTACAACACACTCACACACACAACACAATCACAACACACTCACAACACACTTACAACACACTCACAACACACTCACCTCACAACACACTCACAACACACACACACTCACAACACACTTCACACACTTACAACACACACACACTACAACACACTCACTCCACTACAAACCTTACAACACCTCTGACACTCACCTCACTCACAACACACTACAACACACTTACAACCACTTACACCACTACAACCCTCACAACACACTTACAACACACTCACAACACACTTACAACACACTCACAACACACACTTACAACACACTCACAACACACTCAACACACTGACAACACACTTACAACACACTTTTCTCGACTGTTAGTGTGTCCTTTCTGCAGTCAGACCATAACATTACCATCAGTCTCCAGTGTCCTGTGTAGGGCTCCCCGCCATGTCCAAGGGGAGGGAGGGGGGGAGGAGGGGAGTAGTGAGAAGGAAGGAGGAGAACAGTAGCAGGAGGAGGGAGGGAGGAAGAGGCGGAAGAGGAGGAGGAGGAAAGAAGAAGAATGAGGAAGAGGAGGTACGACATGGCAGAGACTGACTGCTGTGTATGGGAGGTCATGAATTATGGAGAGAGAGAGAGAGAGAGAGAGAAAATGGCACACTGCCAGGAAGGGAGGTGAGGGAGGGTCACACCTGGGGAGGAGAGGAAAGGAGGTAGATGGCAAGCGACCAACAGAGAGTTATAGGGTAGTGAGAAATAAAATGAAAGAGAAAATACAAAAGAAAGAAAGAAAGAAAGAAAGTGGGGTCTACTCACCAGTCTGGCCGTAAGCAAAGATGCAGGCGTTATACCCGGTGAAGGCATTATTGAGTATGTCCTGACCCACGGCAGTGAACACCGTCTCCTGGGTAGCGAACCCTGGACTATCGCTACTCAGGGAGTCAAAACAGTGGTCGAACGCGAAGGTCTTGGGCTGCTTCAAACTGTAACAAACAAACAAACATTAATAGGCTGTAACAAACAAACAAACATTAACCAAACATGTAACAAACAAACAAAAACATTAATATTCACGTAATGACAAAAAATATGCAAATACAAAATCATAAAGAAAATGGTTTAATAAACTACCACCTCAATTTTGGCTATAAATAAAAAACAATAAAAATACAAAAAAAAAAAAAAAACTATAATAAAAACAAAAAACAAATAAAACACTAAAACAAATAAATCAAAACACTTAACAAGAAAAACTTATATACGTCGCTTCAACAACTTTCAAACACTCTGTAAATAAACACAGGTGTGTGATGGGAAAGAGGGTTGGGATAAGAGTTAGGTTAGGTTAGGGAAGGTTAGGGAAGGTTAGGGAAGGTTAGGTTAGGGAAGGTTAGGTTAGATTTAGGGAAGTTGGTTAGGTTAGGAAGGTTAGGGTTGGGTTAGGAAGGTTAGGTTAGGAAAGGTTAGGTTAGGTTGGTTAGGGAAGGTTAGGTTAGGGAAGGTTAGGTTGAGGAAGGTTAGGTTAGGGAAGGTTAAGGTTAGGGAAGGTTAGGTTAGGTTAGGTTAGGGAAGGTTAGGTTAGGGAAGGTTAGGTTAGGAAAGGTTAGGTTAGGTTGGAGTTAGGAAGGTTGGGTTAGGGAGGTTGGTTGGGTTAGGGAAGGTTAGGTTAGGGAGTTAGGGAAGGTTAGGTTAGGGAAAGGTTAGGTTAGGGAAGGTTAGGTTAGGTTAGGTTAGGGAAGGTTAGGTTAGGAAGGTTAGGTTAGGGAAAGGTTAGGTTAGGTTAGGTTAGGGAAGGTTAGGTTAGGAAGGTTAGGTTAGGGAGTTGGGTTAGGGTTAGGTTAGGTTGGGTTAGGAAAGTTAGGTTGGGAAGGTTAGGAAGGTTAGGAAGGTTAGGGAAGGTTAGGGAGAAGGTTAGGTTAGGTTAGGTTAGGTTGGGTTAGGTTAGGTTGAGATAAAATAAGCTAAGGATTATTGATTAGATAGATCGATCGTGTGGTGACGTCATCCCCACACACAAACAAACGGACGGACATAGGACGGGCATACTAACGGACACGGACGGGCATACTAACGGACACGGACGGGCATACTAACGGACACGGACGGGCATACTAACGGACACGGACGGGCATACTAACGGACACGGACGGGCATACTACGGACACGGACGGGCATACTAACAGACACGGACGGGCATACTAACGGACACGGACGGGCATACTAACGGACACGGACGGGCATACTAACGGACACGGACGGGCATACTAACGGACACGGACGGACGGACAAAAGGAGAGAAAACGAGACGATGGTGAGTGATGAGAATACTTTGGAAACAAATAAAGGAGGAAGGAGGAAGAAGAAGAAGGAAGGAATGAGGAAGGAGGAGAAAGAGGAAGGAGGAAGAAGGAGGAGGGTAGTTTAGGTGAAGGAGGAAGGAGGTAGGGAGATGAAGTAATAGGAATAAGAAGGAGGAGGAGAGGGAAGGAGAATGAAGAGGGGGAATAAGAGAAAGGAAGGGAAGGAGAGAAAGACAAGAGAAGAAGAGTAGAAGAGAGAAAGAAGGAAGAGAAAGGAAGAAAGAGGAAAGTTATAGAAGAGTAGGAAGTAAAACACAAGAGGAGGAAGAAAAAGAAGGAGGAGAAGGAAGGAGGAGAAGGAAGGAGAGGAAAGAAGAAGGAAGGAAAGAGGAAGAGGAGATGGACAACACTTCACCTCACTTCATCTTCCAGAGTGACCTAACCCCGGCCCAGTAAATGAGGTGGTGAGACTCGCCTTGAATCGGTAACGTTATTTGACCGGGATCTTATAAAGTGAGAAGAAGAAAACTGCATATCTGGGAGAGGTGAGGGGTGAGGGGAGGTGAGGAGGAGGAGGTGGGAGGGGTGGGGGAGGGTGAGGGAGGTGAGGGGGGTGAGGGAGGTGGAGGTTGAGTGAGGGGAGGGGTGAGGAGGTGAGGGGGAGGTGAGGGGGAGGAGATTCGTGACCAGGCGGTAATGTTGGGTTAGCCATATTCTCTCTCTCTCTCTTTTCGGCATAAAATCTGGATCTCAGCAAAGACTTATAGCGTTGGAATGTTTAAGAGAGAGAGAAGAGAGAAGAGAGAGATTACAATAAAGTAAACTGTATCAATGATCTGGGCAGCGAGAGTGGCGGCCCGCCGTGGTGGGAAAATATAGTACCACCACTACCACCATGAAGGCCTGCCACTCTTAATTCATTAACTACTGACTGAGATAAAACACACACACACACACACACACACACACACACACACACACACACCATCATTATAAACAGTTATTTAGACATCAAATCTACCTATTTATCTCTCTGTCTATGTCTGCCTTACTAATGGACTGTCTGTCTGTCCATCTGTCTTATCATAGGCCCATCTATCCTATACAACTATCTATCCTGCCTGTCACCCCCCCACACACATACAGGTAGCGGGGCGGGCAACATGGAGCTCCCCGCAGGTTATAACATGATGGATGTATCGGCCCGTGATATTATGAGGTGTCGACCGTGTAAATATGAACCATGAGGAGAGGGTTACACGCTGCTCTTACTACTGTCACTACACTGCCAGCCATCACAGAATGAATACGGGTGTTTGTGGGTGGGTGGGTGGGTGTGGTGTGAGGGTGGGTGGGTGGTGGCTGTGGTGGGTGTGTGTGGGTGGTGGGTGTGGGTGGGGTGGGTGGGTGGGTGGGTGGGTGGGTGGGTGGGTGGGTGGTGGGTGTGGGTGGGTGGGGGGGTGGGTGGGTGTGGGTGGGTGGGTGGGTGGGTGGGTGGGTGGGTGGGGTGTGGGTGGGGAGCCTGGAGGCCATCTTGTGCCCGGCCCTGTTTCACGAAATCATTTATCTGGTTGTTATATCCGGGAGGCGGCCTTTACAACCCCCACGAAGGCTGGATCTACATGTTATCAATATTATTACAACTCTTATCAATAACTGTGATTGTTATCCGGCGTTAACAACATGGTGATGATAACGAGGTGGCGTGACCAGACAGGTGAGGTGATTATCTGTACTGTTCACATATTACAGCCCAGGTAATACAACACACACACACACACACACACACACACACACACACACACACACACACACACACACACACACACACACACACCTGGCAGGTAAACATGGAGGACCACCACTAAGCTATACACGGACGCTAATGGGTTACCGATATTGACTTTCAATATAACATCAAGATGCAGCTGTACACCCTGCCCCCCACACACACATACACACACGGACACACACACACACAAAGGTTCTTCCTGGCTGAGTC